TGAAAACCTGGAAGCACTGGGAGGTCGGTTCGTCCTAGTATGGGACTCTTCAGCAGTGCTCATCCACGATCCTGCAAGTGGGACTCAAAGGTCCTGACATAGATCCGAACTATATCCAGACTAATTTGGTTTAAGCATCTATGTAGTATCAGTAGCTGAGTATGCCAACCTGTGATTGGTTAGTACGTTACCCTGATTATATTCATAAATAACCGTAGAAGGATGAGTAACAATTACAGTGAATCACACATGAGTGATTCTCTCGATAAAGTTTATGGAATCAGATTATCAGAGTACTTTGGTTACCAAGGTGATTATTCTTGATGTGAATGTGTTCTAGTAAATTATTAAGGTCATCTCATTAACAAGATGAAATCCATCGGAAACTTGTCTAAGATTTACAATTAAAACACAGTTGTTTATTGAAATCTAGTGTGTCATGATTGTTTTTTATACGACTAGGATTTATAGTATAAAAGCACGTTATTTTGTAATTACCAGTAACTTTTCAAAACTACATATGAACGGAGTGAACAAACGAGAAAGTAGATTTGTCAAACTACCCTAAAATAATACTACACTGACAAGTCAATCAGATTAAAGACAACTGCTTATAAACTTTTGTGAGGAATTCACGACGTGATGACAGATAGCTTATACTTCATTAAAAGATTACTGGAGATGTGGCATTGCCTAGTAAAAGATACTTATTAGGTATCTCGAGGTCTTCTTTGCAATACGAATGACTGATACATAAAATTCACCTATGCGTGATATGGTAGGTGCAATTGTAGACTAATATTGATACGGATAGGTATAAAGGCCGATGCAGTTAAAACGATCGGATCATTTACACAGTCGTTCAAGATCGTCAGTATGATAGTTTATCCAAAACAGCATAAAAGAAATTTGAACAGTACTGGGTTAGTTTACAATCAAATTAAAATAAAATAGCTAGGAGTAATGATAAACCGATCATTAGTGTACATTTAGTTTTGTATGCCATAAAAATTAATAATCCGGATGTGTATTCGTAAATGTTAGCTGGTTTGAGGTAGTCAGTAGGAAACGCTGAAAGACACACTTACAATAATGATGCAGCTAATTATTCCTGTAGGATTAGAACCCCGGTCACCAGCTTCGAAATTACCACTGGTCTATTCGGGCAGCTACTGAAATCCTATAAGACTGAGACATTTACACTAACTGAACACTTAGTAGTAATTAGTATTATCTTTATCTAATCCTTAGTGTGGACTGGATCCTATTGATCATGTTACAAAGTGGCTAATAGTTTATGTGACTCCACCTTGTCGAGATGCTAAGTAGTTTGAGATAGCCATTACGCAACTTTATTGCCTGAAAAACAAACATCAGTTAGATGTTGCATCAGGTTCTTCTAACTGAGACCAATCAGTATGAATATCTAAGTCCTACAGGAGGTCCGATATGGTGAGAATAGTTTAGTGGGAACCAGTCTAATCCAACGGCTACTGTTCTGACTCAACGAACCAGGGTAATATTCCTGGACACTTTTGGGCAAAATGGCCATAGAATGGATATTATACATAAGAACACGAAATGTCTTATGACCGCTGATCATCCGATCAAGATAGGTATATTATTCAAAGCCCTCTACATGATAGGCAAAAACCTACCAATAGCAGTATGTTTACGTCACCCATGTATTGCTAAAACCTTTGTTATACAGATAGAAAAATAAAAACTAAGTGTATAAACAAATGCTGTTCGACTCCGATGAATTAGTTACTTGAATAGCTGTACTTTTATTTATTTTATAAATTATATTCTATATCTTTACCATACTGTTGAAATCTTAAACAGATTTATTCGTATTTTTCAATAGTCTACTTAAGTACAGTTCATTTTCAAAATATACTTTAACATGTGTTATAACTTGTGACCTGAGTGCCTTGTTAATCTATAACGTAACGATACTGCCAATTAGAAAGCAGTGACTTATCGATCGGATCAATGGCGCATAAACCCATATGGACAGCCAAAAGTCTTGATTGGTCCTGCTTCCCGCCTAGCCCAGCTAATTAAGTCCAGAACACCAATCCGAGCCTCTGCGATATGAATCATGTTTCAAACATACGGGGTTTATATATCAATCAAACAGACCACATCGTCCCATAAGATAGAAAATAACATTTGTACAAAATTTGGTCAAATGTGGCTGTGAATGTGGAAGACAGTGACTAATAGACAGGGCATAATTGAAGAATGGTAAAACGTATAATAATGGTTCATAGTTCAAAATAAAGCTTATAATAAGAGGAATATAAATGTGAATAGTTTAATTATTTAACAATTATATGATAAAAATATACGTTTAGTATTGATCCATAAATGGATCGCAAAGTTACCATTCATTATGCTTATCGGGACCTAACACACCTCCCTTTTTTTGATGATCCGGATTTTAAATTTTCCGAGTTTAAGTATATAGTGGATCACTATGATAATCAACGTCCATTAAAACGACACTAGGTTCTTGATTTCAATTGCATAATTATTTTCCTAAACCTAATTTCTACATTTTTTTTCGGTTACTACTGACGGTTAAACTCGGTACCGATCACTTTAGCTGATCTAATTTTATTGACTAAAATACATGTTCACCAATGTCGATTACATAATCAAACAACAATAATATCGGAAAAGTTTCGTTGAAAATTTTAGTTATTTTATTGGTCTCACATTTATACCGAAATAACATTATGTCTGACGGCTATAAACTGTAGCCTGCTTTCCTAATAAATCTTTAGACTGAATAATTATTTTTAATACAATCTATTTTGTAGTCAGTTCGATCCCTAAAATTTTGTACATAAGTTCTAAGTAGCCGTTCATTTATATATAGTACATTATCTCTAGTTTTAAGAACTTTCTTTTTTTTCTTTATAAAGATCCATCTTCTCTTCTAATCTAAGGTTATGTATTAGTCATTATCATTGTTACCATTCGTTTTCTTCACTTGAAATGATTTCTTTTAAACAATATTTTTTCCTAAATCGTGTTCTCAGAAGGTAATGTATTCTTCGTTATAAACTATTTATGTTAATAGAATAAATTCATGACTATCTAATCCTCTTCCAGACATTGGATCATTCAGTTCGATAATTAATTAGAAGAATTAAGTCAATTTTTTCAAGTACATTATATAATCATACTTTTAGGATTTCTGCTGAAAAATGTAGTCTTGTCTTTCAAAATAATAGACCATTCAAATTAAGGGAATTCTACGCTTTGCTTAAATATGTTCAGTGATACTATTCGAATTAACCAAATATATTCCATAGGACAAATAACTATAAAAATTAAATATTTCCTTCTTTGAACAATTCAACTATGGGCAAGTGATCAAATTAATAATATATTTGTTTTATAAGTATGACTACTTATTTGAGAGAAATCAAAATAAAATGTAGAGTATAGATTTAATCCTTTCGGAATATAACCTGTACCATATATGAAGTATGATCCTCAATTATTCAACATCAATATTACAGCAATTAGGTTATATCAGTCAGCAAATGAACTATTAACATCCAACTCCTAAAATCTCTCCGTTATTGACAAATTATACTGTAAATGTGAAGTATCAAGTCTAATAGTGACTTGAGCTACATTATAACAGTACTTCAAATTTAATTGCTTCGAAATCGTAATGATTCCCAAGAAAAACAAGAAATGCGATACGACTAACTTGTTTATATAATAACAAAGATGAATTTGGGGACAAAGTAAAGTAACGAATTAAATAAGATAGTGACCAATCAGAGAATAACTCAAGTTATTGCAGCAATTATGAAAATTAAGTCATCACTGGTTATCTTGAGTGTTGAATAAATAAATAAAAAAAAAACGAAGACAATTTTAGACCTTCCTAAAAGAATGTGAAGCTGAAATTTTAATAGTATTCTTTACTTTTATTTAAACAATTTGAAAGTCAGCTCGCTGAGTTTATGGTGACGGGAATTTTCCACAGATTTTCTTCACCTAAAAAGACTTTACACCAATTATAACCAAAGTTTTCACTGAACAGTTCTGGTTTATAACTCAATAGAATAAAAAAACTGAATCCTAAATTGAAATGACTAATTACTTTGCTAATTTTTGTCCATCAATTTCGAACCACCTTATATAATTCAGATCATGAAAGTTTTCTTCAACTACATATGGTGATGTGTTGGTTTAATAGGTAGGGAGTTCAGCCACTAGGCCCCAGATTCAAATCCCCCTTCATCCACTTTGGTTTAAGCAACCGGATAGTATCATTACCTTTCACATTTAGAGTGAGACTCATACCCAAATAGCTGGTAAAGTTGTTTCGCAGTTATTTGATGATATACATTTCATACATAGGTGTAATCGACAGTAAGCTTTAGAAATCAAAGTTTAGAATTACACAATGAGGTATCCTCATCATGGACCAAAATAACACAGAGACAACAACAGTAATCGAAGTACTCAGATAATTCCCACGAAAAAAGTATTCAATGAATTATTAAGTTGACCGGTTTAGATTTCTTGTTGATAATTTTATCAAGTCATGATATCTTTATACTATTTTTTTTCATAGAAAAAGTTAAGTGTTTTAATCTGAGGTTTATCAGTTAATTTTCTTTTAGCAGATACCATTTTCTTATAGTATTTAAATTAGTGGAAAAAACGTAGTTTATTTTCAGGAAAATCTTGGCCTCTTATCAATGTGTTTTATGTCAACTGAAAAGACAAAAAGATGAGGTTGGCAATGTAGTTTCCAAGGCAACGTCTCTGTCCCATTAAACTATTGATAAATTCATTATTATAATGGTCAAAAAATTACCTTGATTTAACTAGAAAGTGAGGAGCAGTTTGTTGATGATCAGTAAATATGTGTGTAAATGCCTGAAGTAGTATTCAATTAAGGCATACACTTAGTAGTATACTTTATAAGACAAAAAAAGCATGATTATACATATATGTGTATTATTATTTATTATAAATTTATGTCGAGTATGTCCAACTACACTTTAAAGAAAAGAAATTAAAGATATCCATATGATAATAATAATAATAACAAGGGAAAGCAGTAAGAGATTAATAAAGAAGAGTAACGCGTAGGATAACACTTGGAAAATGTACAAAAAATATATAAGTCAGTAGTAAACAAACAAACAAATGAAAGAAACAAATAAACAAAACAGAACAATATGAGTTACAAGACATTGTATATGAACATCGTCACTGTATATATTATCCTACATGTCTGGCATATATATATATATGTACAGAAATACAATCCAATGAATAGGCAAAGGTATTAAGTTATTACTGAATACAAATTTCACATTACAGAGTATGTTGTAAAGGTATCCTCATTAAACGATAATACAACCAAAAGAAACAAATGTTGGCAAGAATTACATAAGTACCATTGCGAAACTCTGTGTATATAACATAATAAGGACTTTTTAAAAAGACAACCCTAAAGGTGATATATAGCTGAAATGTTATGATAAGTGTATTTCATGTATGTGTGTGCATAATTACAGGTAGACTATAAGGGTGACCATGAACGTGTGTAATTAAAAAAAAGGAAAGGATTGATGGTATTGGAAACAATCCCAGTCAGAAATACAATTGACAAAAAAACGGAGGATTAGCAAACAAAAAAGAACAACTAATGTTGATAAGGAGTAAGAACGTTCTGCAAGAACAAAATAAATCAAACAAGTAACAGATTTGAGCTTTTTCTTCCAAAAAAATACTACTGTTTGGATCGATATTTTGTAATAGATGTCGCAAAAAAATCAATGATGATAGTAGAAGCAGTATGATGTACATAATTGTGATGAATTGCAATGAGCAAAGCATCTAAGAAGAAGCCATTGAGACGACACAGATAATACCATCAGAAGACAATAGAAAATGATATAACCTAGGAACAGAAAACACTGATATATATATATTCTTCAGTTAAACAGTAACAAAATCAATGAAGCTAATTATTTATCTTAAGCAGAGACGGATGGCTGTTAGCAATGAGATGCAAAACAAGTGTTTCGTCCTATCTGAGAATCGTCAGCTTCATGTACCTGCATCGTAAAGTTGATGTTCACTCTGGAATTCGAATCCAGTGCCTTTTGACTCAGACACCAACGCCTAATTCACTTAGATTACGAGTCCAGATGGCCACTGACTTGTGCAATATGGTGAATTTTAATTCCGGAGTGAACACCGACTCTGGGATTCAGATACATTCAGCTGACAAATTCCGATTAGAACGAAAGGCATGCTCTGGATTCCACGACTAACCATTATCCATTTCTGCTTAAATGCTTGTGACTTAATAGTAATATCGAGGCAATCCGTACAGAATCCATATATGATAAGTCAAGAAAGATTGACCAATGACAGTGTTGAACATCGATTGGAAGAATCAAACGACTAAGACTAATGGATCAATTATTTATCTTGTTTCGACCATTTTCAGTCTTTGTTTCTAATTAACATCATTGGTCATAACAAGCGTAAGAGTATAAGAGAAAAACAGGTTGCTCCAATCAATCGATTGAGGATCCTATCAGTCAACCGATCTCTCCCACTGCATAAAACCAATCAATTAGTATGGGCACTAACTGTTTCCAAGCTGTGGCTCTTATTCTGACATCACGGCACGGTTCAGTCATGCTGATTGGAATGATTATTTATTCAGGTTATACCAAGTCAGTTGAAATGCCTAAACAAAATTACTAAGAGCAGTCACCCGAAAGTTTGATTGTGAAACGGAACTAAAAAATATACTGCAGTAAAACAGTGATAAAGTGCTTACTATCGAAATAAACTTTTCCGTTGTTCCTTACCTTACAATCATCCGAAGTTAAAAAGTCACCTCAGTAGTTTATTTGACTAATGATGAAGTTTTAAAACATGCCTTTAGTTGTGTAAAACTAGAGTTCAAACACTTTGTAAATCAGGTTTCTCTCTTAGGCTTTGATGTTATAATTTATTCGACAAAACGAGACATTTTTCCGAGCTTCTTCAAGAGTAACAAATTTTTGTAGGTATGAGCTTATAAATTCGAATCGCTAGAACACTTACACTACAATTCGAAAGCTTTTCTTTTTGTGGTTTCACCGGGCAAAAATGATGTTGAATCGTTTTCTGAGGATGAAACATTGAATAAACGAGTGATGCAGATAGCCTACCAGGGGCTCGAATTGGTTATGTTTGAACCCCACTCCATCTACTTCAGTTTGGGTAATAGGATAGTATCATTAACCCTCACAAAGAGTGTGGATCATATCCAAGTAGCTGATGAACGAGTTTACATAGTATTTCATTTAAATAAATTTAGATAAAATTAACCTTTCTCAAATTCTCTAATATGGTCACTCGCTCTTCTTGATAATTCGAAAATGGTTATACTCACAGCTATTATGCGACGGGAACAGCACCTAAAAGAGGGAGACAGTTAACACTGATGTTATTTGATTAAATGTGATTGGATCCAATCTAAGAGAATTGGAATTAACTCATTTACGAGGTACAGACTCGAGTACTTGGCTTCAAGTTACATTCTAAATTTGAGGGCTAGAGGTAATATCCAGCTATAAAAATCGAAGTACATTGACGGGGGATCAAACCTGGTTATAACTAGTACTCTTTATTTATATACACATATTGTTACCGACAGTCACGCGTGTCGTAAAACCTGGCACATTTGTGCATTGGTTCGATTCGTCATATCATATCAGCAAGGTACCATATAAAATATTAGGCATTTCAGTCAGTCATTCAGCTACAACGTAGGACCAGCCACATATATCCATCGGCCAAGTTGCCACACCTCATTAGCACGACAAGATGAACACCAAATTCATAAAGGTAGTTACTTCAGCAGTGGTAATATATAAAAGAAAGATTGTTTATAACGATATATTACAGAAAGAAAGAATTAGTTCGTAGAAAGAAAGATATGAAGCGATTTTAATCTCATAGTTCAAAGGAAGACAAAGAGTGTATACACCGACGCCATTGTGATCGATTCTGAGCCATGTCACCAAGAGTCTCCAACCATTGATTATGATAGTCACGCGGACCCCCACCAAGTAGTCTGCATCTCCAAACATGACTCAGACTAGAAGTTAGTGACTTCAAGCACTGATGACACGTTTTGGTTTGGCCACCTCTAACGTTCTTCCAACCGTCTCCAACACTAGTCAGCATTGGGCGTCTTGGTAATCAGTGTTCAGGTATACGTAGCACGTGGCCCAACCATCTCAGTCGATGAAGATTCACAACCTCATCAATTGATTTATCACCATTCCTTAGTACCCTACGTCTAACCTCACTATTACTTACCCGGTGATCCCAGCAGATGCGAGCAATATTTCTAAGACATCTGTTATCGAATACTTGTAACTTACAAGTATCTTCTACTCTTAATGGCCACGTTTCGCAGGCATAAAGTAGAACAGAACAAACTACTGCGCAGTATACTCGTCCTTTAATTGATAGACGGATATCTTGTCTTCGCCATAGGTGACGTAAGTTGGCAAAAGCCAAACGAGCTTTTGGAATTCGTGCTGAGATTTCGTCAGATACCAACCCATTATGGCTGATCAGACTTCCAAGATAATTAAAGTTGTCAACGCGTTCGACTATTTCACTCCCTATCCTTAATTTAGTTGTTGACGCAGGCCAGCCCTGAGGCAACAACAACTGTTAGGGATTTAAGTTGGGATAATTTCATTTTTTAGGAATTTACGAATATTCATAACTTTATAGTGCAAAGAGAAACAAAACAAACTGTAAAGTGCTTACCATTGAGTCAATTAATCTGATCATCATAACATTGTTATTGTTGTTGTAGATGTTGACGATGGTATTATTGATGGTATAGAACACGGCAATGAACAAAAAGAGATTGTAGAATTCGAAGATGTCTGTATATTAAGGGTAGTTGATTGTACTGTACACACAATGTCGTTGTTATTACAATTGATGTTATCTTCATTCATAATATTAGGATAATATAATTCTGTTAGAGGAGTCGTCATCACAACTGCATTATTATCACTAGTCATGTTACAAATAGTAGTAGTATTGGCAGCCGCACCACCAGTAGTCATAATTGAATTATCATTATTATTTTCAATATGTGAATCAGATATTTCAGAACACTCATTATTATTACTGTTAGTTTGATAAGTGGAGAAGACGGATGAATGTTCTTTATCCAAACAATGAATTAAATTCGATGTGTACGATACAGGCATTGAAGATGACAATGTTGTAGTTACTGATGTCGGTGAGGACGATGATTGGACAACAAAATAATTCGATGTATTTCCAAGAACAATATTGTGAGTTGTTGTTATTGCTGTATTATGATGAATCAATGCGAAATCGGACGACAATGATGATGATAATGAAAAGGAATATGGAAGACTGACTGCATCACCAACCTTATTATCACAGTCGTCATGTGTTGTATTCACTGGAATTGCTGAAGATATTAATTTATGCGAAGATTGTTGTAGTGGCATAGATGATTGAAAAATGAGTGATGAATCCGTTGTAGTACTATTATTATTGTCATTATTACTATTAGTATTATTGTTACCAATACTATCAATGCTGATAGTAATATTGTCTACGAGAGAATTATTCATTCTAAAATCAGTTTGGTTTTTAATAAGATTTTTCACTACACCCAATGATCCAATTGTTAATGATAATTTTGTTGGTGATGATGTGGTGAAAGCGACAGAGGAAGAGGATACCGGCTGTTGTTGAATGTTAAATAACAAATTTCTTGATGAATCAATTAATTCAGATGAAGGAAATGTATTATTTGCAGCCAATATATTGCCTCGTGATGAAGATGATGATGATCGGATCGGTATACCAAGACCACTATCACTACCAACACCAACAATTATTACAGGTGTTGAAACTGTTAGCCCTATACCAGTTTTGTTGATAATTTCAGCATTGCTATCGTTATTATTATTGCCACAACCGCTGTTAGCACTGACAACAATAACACCTGTATTATGATTATTACTGTTTAATGCACTCGCTGCAGCCGCTGTCGCACTGGCCACAGCATTTGCATCTGCAGCTGCTATTCTTGCATTTAAATTGACTGTGGAACTGCTACTATTATTATTATTACTGCTATTACTATTGTTATTACTACTATTACTAGTAATAGTACCAGTTACATTAGACAATTGACTAAGAAAACCACTTGGTTTCGATATTATAAATGTTGATTGAATAGAACAAACGGGAATGTTATTTGTATCGTATATAGATAATGGATTTATTAAATCGCCAACAACTGATTCAGCTGCTACAATCATCGCAGTCAATGGTGTAACCGAACGATGTAGAATATTTGGTTTCGTGTCTTGATTAGATAAAAATGCATCAGAAACTGTTGAACTAGTACAATTTAATAATAAACTATTATTTGTAGATCGATTATTTCCAATAATAAGTCGTTTATTATCAAAACTAGCAATATATGCAGTAGCAGATGGTTTCGGTGGTAGCATAATAGAATTATTTTTATCATTATTATTAGTATTGAGTGAATCCATCGTTGAACATGTATTCACATTGCAAACTGATATGATTAAATCAGATATTGGTTTATTAGACGCACCGATTGTTCTATCTGATTGCATATCACCAAAATCTTGATGGGATGATACTGACGGTGAAATAGTTGATGATAATAACATACAACCTGATGATGATAAGGATGGAAATGATGTAGACAATGTATTTGTTATATCACATTCAAGACTACATGTTAAATTATTTTTAATTGAGATTTGATCTAACGTATTTGATCGTGATAAAAGGTAACTGAGATTAGTATCAGCTTTAGTGATTTTTGATACTAAACGACAGGTTGTATTATTAATTACTGACTGACATGAAATATCAGAAGAACATGTAAGTTGAAGATGACTATTTGAAAGTGACTGGATGTTCGTTGAAGGTTTATAAGAAGATAATGTAACATAAGAATCAGTTAGGATATGTGTATCATGGACATCATTACAACTAGCAATAGTCGACCGAATAAATTTAACATCATTAGACATAGACGATGTATTTTTTGTTATAGATGATGAACTAACGACTATTTGATGGAATGTTGTTGGTGGATAATTGGATTGTTGACTTGAAGGATTTTGAACAATCGACGATGAAGATAAGTGAATTTGTTGATTGTTTATTAACGGATCAGTTTGGCAACGAGGAATTAGTCCACCAAATGATGATGATAAAATATTTTGAGTATCTATAATAGTATTATTATTACTACTATGATTATCAAATCTTAATGATGTAGGTGGTGGTAGAATAGTAACTGATGCATTAATATTGTTATTATTACCATTTTTGATATTATTATTATTATTAGATAAGGCAGTGGCAGCCGCTGCGGCAGCAACAGCAGCTTTCAAACTATTGCGTAATGTACTTACATATTGAATTTGATAAGCATCATAATCAAGTTCTTGACGTAAAGTTCCACTTAGAATAAACTCTTCATGATGAACAGCTAGAAGTTTACAAAGAAAGAATCAACGGAAAAGAAGAAATAATAATGAACCAGAAAAAAAAGAATAGAGATGATGAGGTGAAAATATTCAATTTACAACACATGACCAAAACTGACAGATTCAAACTGAAAACAACATAACTGATAATTCTTGATAATCTATTCTCTACTTTACGCTTGACGATGAAAAATATACGTAATTTTGTTATAAAATCAACATGATTACAAAATGGATTTTTATTTATATAAATGATTGTTTTCTAGAGACAAATTGAACACCTTAAGCTATGAGTATGTCTACTATACAGAAAGAAAGACGGAAGGAACATAGAAAACTCATGTGCTCACATTCTTTGAAGGAAGAAGTATTATAAAAAAATCAAACTTTGAAAAAATCTCGACTAAACAAGCTAAAATTTAAAGATCTCAAATTGCGTGTCCATCAGCTCATAATAATAATAATAATAATAATAATAATAATAATAATAATAATAATAATAATAATAATAATAATAATAATAATAATAATCCATTGTACAGTTAAATTGATATTAATTCATCGGTAAATGACTAGATGCTAGAACATGGCTACAGCATAAATTATGGGAGAGTTAGAAGTTCACTAAGTAATAGTATAATTAGTGATAAGTTATCTAGTCTGTAGTAATGAGCGAATTTTATTGACTGATGGTGATTTAAGATGGTTAAGGCTAGTTAGCAGATAGTTCTAAAATCGAAGTTTTATAATGAATGATATCTGTCAAAAAAGTGGATCAGTCAGTCATGAGCAATATAGGACCGAGCATATATATGTATCAATTTAAGTTGCCACATCACACGATACCAGTTCAAGGAGATGGAATTAACACGATAACAAAACAACAAAATTAAGAATATCAGCGATAGTAAACAAGATAGATTCGAAATAGATAATAAAATTCAAGAGTAAGGAATGTATAAAAAGCCTTGAATCCACTTCACTCCAGCCAGCATTACGAGTCGAAGTAGGCAATGGTTGTGGATACGTAACACTTCTCACAATCACCTCAATCAATGACGACTCACTATTTTGTCAACTAGTTATTTTGGACTAGTGCACTGTGTCTAACCTCAGCACTAGTAATTCAGTGGTTCCAGGATATATAAGCAACGCTTCGAGAAAAATAGACCTGAAATTTTGATCGAAATGGTAGTGAATGAAAGCAGCCAGGATTTTTGGGAAAAATGTTTAAGTGGGATTGTAGATACACCCCTTGTTGATGATGATTGTCGGCTAACATGAAACAAATATTCAAATTCTCCCGTCGATTCCAACTACCCAACAGCACCAGATAAGTAATTATATAGTTGATAATTAATTATTAATTCTCTCCCAATTATAGTTTTAGCATTTTAACGTATTTAGGTTTATGGTTAATTCATAGGGAGAAAACGATTACAAGATGACGAAGCAGTCAGGTAGTTCAATGAAAAATAACAAATTTACTCCTTAACACATCTGTGATTGATGTATCCATTAAAATACTTAACATCAACAACTTTCTGTTATAATATGACGGGTAAATAATAAAATATAACTATCTAAAGCGAAATAAATGAAACAGGGTTCGAACCCACAAACCATTAGTAACAAATTAGGTTCTATTGATATACAAATATGGTAAAATAAAAAAACCTTACCCTTGTTGCCTGTTTTAGTACGCATTAAATAATTAGCCACATGACTATCATCTTCATGACAAATAATCAATTGTTTCGGTTGTGCCAATAACGCCATCTTTTGTGTTGGCCGCCTTTGACGTATTATACCATGACCAGCTTTAATTAATGCAATACACATTTCACGATGACATGCACCTGGTGAAAACCAGAATTCTAAACCAGCAAATAGACCAGCTTCTGGTCCAATCATTTGACGTTTACGGGCTATACTAATTGACTTTTTCAAATCAATACCTAATTGAGTTTCCGAATCTGGATCAGATAAAATCCAAGGTGTCTCATCTGAGGTAGAAATACAGAACAACAACAGTGAAATCATTTTAGATGGAAATAGTTGACAATTTTTAAGATAATAAACAAGAACAATATACATGAATAGTTGAATAAAGAAATATATAGTACTGGTGTTAGGCGGTTGGATAAGTCGGCGGGAAACACTGATGCAAGTTTGAATCCCACAAAGAACAGTAATTCCGTCAAAATCGTAGGTATGCCTCACTGTCACGGAGCTTCCTTTCGACTATCTCCAATCGACCAACATATCAATATAGTCCAAGCGATGTTGAGTCACTTAAACTAGGGGACATACTGTACCTTGATCAACACTAAAGGACTAAACAAACATGACATTGGTTACTATTCAGTGATCAATAAATATCAATAACTAATGAAATATGTTTCTAGAGTACAGTTTTCTACACTCAGATTTTGAGATAAAATGTTTATACAGGTGTTAACGATATTGTCAATCTAAATCGATAAAAGTGAATCAACCAATAATATTTGAGTTTAATGCCCACAACTGAAGACCCGTTTAATCTCAGACTGGTAATTATCCTGACCCCTTTTATTTAACTGATAGTCATGAAATTGCAGCAGTTATATAAATATGACTAATCTTTGTTATTTATTCATTTCATTTCAATATGTGTGTAATTATTGTTCTCTTTGTAATTGAGTATTGTTTTGCGTTTTTTTACTATGTGAGATAGTACAGAGACTTATTCAATATTACCCAGCTGATAATGCCGAAGTGGTATAGGGTTCGAGTACCTAGTTTATAAGTTGGGATCCAAGTGAGTTGATCACCACTATGCACGCATCCATGATAGGAATGAAAAACATTTGTTGTTTAAAAAATATAATAGATGGTTGATTGACATAAAAAGTAGCGCAATTCAGTGAACAAATAAGAAATTGCAAACTTGAATACAAATTATATTTGCTGTTGTGAAGTGCTAATACAAATATGTATAGATGACTACATGTATCGTCTAGTGCTTCCAGGTACTCAATGGTAGTCTAACATTGATCGGTTCATGATCTTAATTAAAAACTCAATCTCTACAACCCTATACTGATGATAATCATGTGCTCACTAGTGACTAGCTTCGAGCGGTAATTCTAGGAATTCTAGTGAGGAGCCGTGACCAGAGAAGTTTAATCGAGTCGGGTGTGAGACAGTTACCCACATAAAACAATGGAAGATGGTTGTGCGAAGTACTTGAATGATAAAGAATATTTGTAGCCAAGATTCATCAAAGTAATCGATTAAACTACTCAGCTTAGGAAACAACAAATGAATTGAATAAAATATTCCGTTTTTATGATGAAAAGTGAGATGATTGTAGAAAAATGTTTTTACTACTAACTAATACTTCATAAACAAAATTAAGTAATTTGATAAGTAACAATACAGTTGTATTTAAAACAATTAATTTAATAGGATAATTATAAACACTCTTCAATGAGATCTAAGGAAATATTTAACTGATTAACTTTTAATAAAATCATGTGAATAATTTAACTACTGAATAGTAATGTAATTCAAAATAATAATAGTCTTACCTAACCAATAACCACACATAACAGAAGCTTGTATCCATTTTGGTGTTACAACATAACAGCCTAATGCAACAGCCATATATGTTTTTGGTGTACGAATTAGTCGCTTAGCTACTAAATGAGTAGCTTCTTCAGCTGAATCAACAATTTTACAATCAGGTAATTGTAAACATAATTCAGTTAAACTTAACCGTGATTCCAAATCAATAGCAGTGAATGTAATCCTGATCTCTGTACAAATAGGTGGGAGTAGTACCGTTGTGTCATCATGATGATGATTAGTTGATTGATTTTTTGAGTCTGTATCTTCACTACAAACAGTATCAATAATATCATTGTTATTATCATTTATATTTTGTACAACGTCTTCTACAACTATATTATCATTAGTATCATCATCCATATGACTTGAAGATTCAGAAATATCCTCTTCTATTCCATTTAATTTTTCATCAATTTTAATTATAGGCATTGTTATTGAATTTTCGGCATCAAGTTTGATGTGACCATTCAACACGGAATTAGATACATTTTCAGTTATTTTACTTTCATACTGACATGTAGAAGAAGAAGACGAAGACAAAGAAGGAGGTGTATGCTGTGAAGAGAAAGAAGTGACTGGACAGTAAGCAATGATATTAGTTATTTTCGAACTGGAATCAACTGAATTTGTTTCTATTGCGCGTCGTTTACTATCCATCATCATGTCATCTATAGGACTAGTGGCTAAGCGTTTACGAACTGCATCATCATCACCACATAAATGACTGGATTCGATGATTGAACAAACGTTGTCACTAGTAAATACTGTTGTTGTTTCTGGTGTGTTGTTTATATTGTTAGATTGAATAATATTGTCATGTAAATCTTTTACAATCACTGAATCAGTAGTAGTGGTAGTAACATCTGAAGAGACAATAGTCAATTCGTCAGTCATCACAATATCCGTATCTTTCTGAATTATCACTGAACTAGTCTCTGAAATAGATGACTCCATAGTATTGGCATTCACTTCAATTATAGAAGTCTGAGAAACTTTAGTCTCGTTGAATAAACAACCGTTAGAAACAGATGTTGATGATGATACTATGGCAATATCATCTACTTGTGGAACCTTATCGTAAATGTCGCTATCATTATTATCACTGTTATCAATATTATCCTTATAAACTTCATTATTACTTGTCTTCTCAGTACTCGCAATTTTGTCACGATCACCAATATCATTTGATTCAAATGTCTAAAAAATAACATAAAGTGTAAGAAGAAGCTTTAAAGAAAAAAGAAGAAGATGGGAGATTCTATGTGCCAGTGTTTTTATCAATTGAAAGAACCATAGACAATTATTAAGGAATACTGGATAAGTGTATTGTTCTAGCGTGAGACTCGAATAGTGCGCACATGGGAACACGTCAGGCGTTGGGGTTCAGGACCCTTATTTCCCTCAGCTAATGAGTAACCACTAAATTGGAGTCCAATGTTTTATATTTCGGACCTAAGCCAAAAATATTGTGAATCACTTACCTGCTTGGAAAAATGATAAAATTTGAGAAGTAATAATGGGTTTAGAATTTAAGTAACCATTTTGATGCTAAATATTCCCCTAGAAAATTTTAAACAAGAGTATTTCTAGATAGGGAACTGATTAAAGTCTAATTAGAAACAATATATAAATTTTTTACAAAGGGTTACAAATAGACATTCATGAGCTAAACTGTTCGCATAAATCTGAACATAGAACTTTAAAAACAGAATTCATTAGGGGGGATATACTTCAAATCGTTAAAAGAATCCATTTTGGTTAGAAAACCTTCGTCTACTATTCACAAGACAAAGGAACTCAGTTACCGAATAAATGGTCCTGTGCCAAAGGAGGTCATGATGCCATCTGACTACTTAAACAGCAGGGAATATAATGAGATTGAAACCCGCAATCCGATTTTTAAAAAAACCAATCACTTTGATCACTAAGTCAGTGTTCTATACGGAAACTAACTTGATATATTCACTTTTAACATTTTCCCAGCACACATACACTTCAACTAAATATCTAACGTTGGACAGAGAGTCAGTGTTGCGTTGTCAAAGAAGTCGACTTACACTTACCATTCGAATCGAGTCTTCATTCGTATTCATTCTATAGGTAACAACATTGTAATCAAGTTTCATATTGTTGTCATTTTGAACGTCGTTATCACTACTGACAATTGCGTCATCAGCATTAGCAACCACACCACCAACAGTGTTATCGTGATTAGGAGAAAAAGGAATGTTTTCACTAGTTGGAATATTTTCAGAAGTGACTATTGAAGATTCACTGCAGCAGACAATTTTATCTGCCATGGAGGGATCCAATTCCAATGACTGGTTTTCGTTCAGTAATCGAGAATAGTCAGAATCCGATTCATCCGTTAGGGTAGTATTTTGCGGCATTACTTTGGATTCTTCTTTAATTTTCTTGCATTCTTCATGCTTCAAATAGTTAGACTCCTCGGCAGTTTGTTGTTGTTTGACAGAATCTGTAATATTATTGTCATTATTATTATTATTATTATTATTATTATTATTATTATTATTATTATTATTATTATTATTATTATTATTATCGTTGGATTCATTCACAACCGAAGACACGTGATTGTCACATTCCATTTTTATTATAATAGAATTATTTTCTTCACAAACAACATCAGCTGGCAGATTAGATATTTCAACTGAATCAACAGAACATGACTGACTAACAGCAACAATATTATGATTAGTATTGGACGGATGAAGGATCAACGAGTTAGTTTTAGACATTGTGTCAACATTACCATTATTGACTGTGCTAACTGATATATTTGAGGTTGAATTAGTGTAATCAGCAATACCGCTATTATTATTACTATCGGCAGTAGTGGTAGTAGTAATAGTAGTAATCGTAGTTACAGGCGAAACAGTGATAGTTGTTGCCGCAACAATAGCAGCAGCAGCTGAAATATGAAGACTTGTCTCGCTTTCCGGAGTACTCTGAGGATCGCCAGCGGCCGCCGCCGCAGCTGATGCAGCAATAGCTTTCATAGTCGCTTGTAATTCACGTTTTTGTTCAGCTTCTAACAAGAGAATTTCATATCTTGGTCGACATGACATTGCAATTTTTATCTCTTCATCAGTTAATGAAGTTAGTAAACATCTATGAGAAAGAAAGAAAACAGTTTTGTAATGAATAAAAAGAGAATACATTTTGATGGAAAAAATATTATTTTCATTATTGAATGTTATTTATCAGGTACTTTGACAGTTCAATCCACTTCTTTCCTTCAAGTAAATCTCTTAGTTGCCTAGCCAGTCACAAATAACTAATCAACTGCCATGAATGAACATACGTAGATCCGCGAAATTACACTTCTCATTTGCACAACGAAAATGAGTTGGGGAATAAAAATTTCACCTGTAGTGAAAGCTAAACAAAATAAGTATAAATTTGGATTGTAATTTATGGGGAATGAATGTAACTTTGAAATTAAGACAATTTTTCGAAACTTATCACCTAACGTCTCCAACCATAAACGACTTTTGCACAAGTTACGAAGGCCTACATCATATCTTGTAGTGTGGCTCTGGACTGATGCTGTGTCTTCATTCGGTCTTTTTTAACCGTTCTCATCCAACTTACACCAGACCAAGAGAACAATGAGAATCAGAGTAGGGGGCTTAGACTTTCAAAAAAAGACAATGTCAATTGGGTTACTGAGTTCGAACCAATAATAACATAATGGCAACAGGTATTAAATAATATAACGGTTTCATGTAGAGCATTATTTACGTCCAGTTAACTACCTAGTGTTTGATAACAAAACCAATGGCATAAAAACCGTTGGATTTACCAATCAGTAAAGATCGGGCGCTAGTTACTCAAACTGAAGTGGAACTTGAGCGCTTTAATTAAAACAATATCGACCGAAAAAATTAACGTGTCAAAAATAAAGTTGTTAGATCATTAATTCACCTGACTTCCAGGCACATCCGTCGGTGAATAAGATGAGGATGATACTATATAAACAACAGAGTTCCTTAGTTCTTTAGGTAGACACTAAAAGGTTGTTAGTTCACGTTCAAAAGTGAACTGGATTGTTTTCTTATTTCAATTATCAACTGATTAGAGAACTTTGGTCATAATATGACTAAGCTATTTCACAAATGATTTTATAAAGAATAAATATTGAAAACTGGCATATATATTTTTTACGTAAATAACCCTTACAATGTGGCGTAGGCAAGATATTCAATTGTTAAGCAAAGAACGAGTATACTGTAGAGGAATTAGGTCAATTTTAATTTATGACTGTGAAAATTGGTCTCTTGAAGTTGAGGAATGTTGCTAAAGCATTGTGACACAAACAAAGATGGGAAATCGCCCAATAAAGCTATGAATTTTTATCAACTACAGTGGTTAAGAGTAGGAATATGATGGCGAAACTAAGATACAACATGAGTACATGAAGTCATTGACTGTTGGACTAGGTTGTGTTAGTAAATGAAGAGTATGTATTTGGAATCAGCACGATAACCATGATCAGAGTTAAATAAGGTCAATTGACAGAGTAGTACAGATGCATTCACTGTTTGTCTTCTATTAGATTATGGGTTCTTATTTAGTAGTTTTTGTTCACTCATTGTTCTCAAATTATATTCTTTATATTTGATGACTGATACACCTATTCTTTCTAATATTTTAGTATTCAGTTTGATAATTTCATTTTCTGTGCTGACATAAAGCGACAACTTGAACCGATGCACATATATGCCAAGTTCTATGTTGTTCATGACTAACTAACTGGTTAAAAACTTCATTATGAAAACATAGTAGAAATAAACAACTGACTTAAATTATGCAGTTTCTTAATTGAATAAAAATTGGAATATTAAAACATATTAATTGGATATGTTGAAAGTGATTTACTCACCTGGATTTTTTAACTTTACAATGATTATTACTACTATCATTGTAATTTATGCTAGTTTCTAATTCAAGTTTACGCTTACGTTCACGTTCTTCATTAGCAAAATCATGAGATAACTTAGTAGAACGCTGGTGTTGACAGGAGAGAAAGAGGAAAACGTAGGATTATTTAAATTAATTATTCATAATTAAACATGATAATCTTTAACAATTATATATAGATAAAAAATAAACAATGTAAATTGTACATTGATAGAATTTTGAGTTAAAGTTTAAAATTTCAACTACACATGCTTAAGGAAATGTAACATATTTAATAACACATATTAGAAGGAATAACCGTCAACGGATAGTACTTAGGAGAGGATTTATACAAAACTAAATTATGAGTAGTAGAAACTTAGAAAAACTAATATTTAGTAACTTCAAATGCATTAGAGACATGAAGATAGTGAACTTAGTATTTACTACAGTTTCATTATTAGATTAACTTATTCTGGATAAAATGAATGATACGAAATGAACGTTCTATAGGTAATTATCAGTAACATTTATCTTGGAAATGAAGTCATTATGGATAGTGTTGGTTGTTTAATATCTGGACTTGAGAATATTTGACATAGTTATAATAATAATGGTAGTAGTAAAAACAATGTATGTAATAATGGTATATATATAATACAAGAAATGTTTGTAGTGTTTAAATCATAACATTGGAGGTAGACATAAAAAAGAGAAATAATTAGGAACAACTGGAAAGGAGATAGCAAGACAGAGAAGGTCCAAGATTCCTGGCCGGTAGCCTATGCCCTACGAGGAGTAATAGATGTAAGTGAGCTATATCATAAATAATAATGGACGAAATACGAATTAGATCACAAAAAAATAGTTTCAAAGAATAATAATAACAATAACGTTGTTAATACCACAAGTGATATAAGTCTAGTGTCGAAATATTTACTGAGATATGTTTCTTATCGGGCTAACTAAATTCTGTTAATTAATACCATCCAAAAGTTAACATTACAGTTACATACGATTAAAAAAACAGTATTATTTTGTAACAGGTATATGTAGTTATCAACCAACATCAACGTGAGAATCTTTAATACGAACGTCAGGATAGTTCTACTGTACGGAGTTGGAACTTCGAGAACTACCACAACCGTCATCAAAAAGATATAAGTATTTATAAATAGTTGTCTACGAAAGATACTCAATGTCCGTTGACCGGATGCCATCAGCAACAGTCTTCTGTGGGAGAGGACAAACCAACTTCCAAATAAAGAAGAAATTAGGAATAGACGTTGTAAGTGGATAGGATACACGTTGAGGAAATCACCAAATTGCACCACGAGGCAAGCCCTAACTCGGAATCCTGAAGGGAGACGGAAAAGAGGAAGACCAAAGTACACACTGAGTCGGGAATTGGGAGCAGCCATAAGAAGGATGAATTGCAACGGGAAATAGTTGTCCAGGACAGAGTTGGACGGATAATGCTGGTGGATGGCCTATGTTCCTCCCCGATAGGTGTAAGTAAGTAAGTATGCGTGGTTAGATCAATCAGTGCTAGATACTAATTTATTTTAAACTTGTCTTTTTAAGAAAAATAGATGAACTAGGTTGTAGTTTACAATTCAATGAATAAAACCTTCAGTAGACTGTAATTTCACCTAGACAACACTTAATTTATTAACAAGATTATTAATATCACTATTAACCCACAGAACATAAAAAGTATATATGAATATATTGACAAAGCAATCCTAGCACCAATAAATACACTCACTATCCATATTTCTTGAGTTAATCGAATTGGATTTTGCCATCCAACTGAAAAACAAAAAAGGAACATAAAATATTTATTATCGTTTTCTAATTTATAGGTTATTTAATAGTGCATAAGTTTCATAATACGAATAATAGTGAAATATATAAGCTTTGTGTTATAGATTAATTTGAATAAAAATTCAAAGAGCATAATGGAATGAATATAAAATCAACGAATGATAGATGAATAACACAAATATTGTTTATTATACAATGGGGTGGTCGAAACAAAACGTGTCATCAGTGCTTGAAGTCACTAACTTCTAGTCTGAGTCACGTTGGTAGATACAGACTACTCGGTTAGGGTCCGCGTGACTATCATAATCAATGGTTGGAGACTCTTGGTGACATGGCTCAGAATCGATCACAATGGCGTAGCTGTATACACTCGTTGTCTTCCTTTGAACTATGAGATTTAAATCGCTTCATATCTTTCTTTCTACGAACTAATTCTTTCTTTCTGTAATATATCGTTATACACAATCTTTCTTTTATATATTACCACGATTGAAGTAACTACCTCTATGAACTTGGTGTTCATCTTGTTGTGCTAATGAGGTGTGGCAACTTGGACCGATGGATATATGTGGCTAGTCCTACGTTGTAGCTGAACAACTGACTGGTAAGTAAATTAACTAAACTGAATTAATGTAATTTCTAATGAATATATGAATATATAGACTGTACGAGTTCATTCACTTGTTACATAATGGTCACAAGTACAGAAAACATAACGTTCAATTAACTAGTTTCCTACTCTGGGTATATATTCATTATTTAACTGATATTGTACACTGTTCAACATTAAGCAAAACAAAATTAAATTAGACAGTGAGTTTACCCATCAGAAAGAAATGAGATGCTGAAATTCACAGGAAAACATTTTATACAATACATAAATGTCAAAGATGATTATGATAACAACTGAAGTTGAATATCCTTCTTCCAAGTAGGTTTTTTTGTTGTAATTCGCAATAGAGATTTCAAAAAAACAACAACAGGGGAATCTACTGATTTGACTAATTTTTAATAGCTAAATATATCGAAACACAAAAATATCACTCAACTAATTTAGAATTAAACTTCTCAATGTAATATATTTGGCACTAAAACATCTAAATATTCGATATTAAATTAATATTATAATTGGTATTTGTGAAAAAGTGATACTTAAATGTTTGAGAATAACAGTTGGTTTATTATGATATATACATATATTTGGGTTTATAACGATTTTTCACTATCACTAACCAGAAATGCAGATAGTTTTATTTATATCTGTGTATGAATAGGGTTTATTATTATTACTAGTAGTATTATTACTGTCAAATATTTATCTAGGACAGAGTAATTTACTGTAAAGAAAACAATACTAACATAAAAGCAGATACATTTTAAAAAAACCGGTCATTATCACTCAGTGATCAATTAGTAACGCATTTTTCTAATTTGAGATCTATCCATCACCTACTCATATATTTGTCTGCAGATCAAATCTAAATCTAATTACTGGGTGGGAGGAAGGTATTGAGAAAGTGGAGAACATGTTAAATTTCTTTCATAATCGTTAATGTTTAATTAATCACAGTATGATATCGATTAATAGGAAATAGTTTAATTATATTTCATCAGACTGATCATGAATCGGCTGATAATAAGGTAGAAATTTGTCTAATTCTGTCTATTATTACTAATACATGATCTCAATATAATCACTCCTATAATCTATTCCATTCTTTCGCGGTTCTAGTCAATGTAGAAATCAAATAACTATATTTTTCATTGCAATTTTTACGTATATTTAAAAATACACACTATCATAGTTGTATTTCCAGATAATTATTAACAATACACAAGGTATTGCTTTTTGATATACCTACAGTTCAGGATAAACATAACTATTGGCTGAAGCCCCTTGTATTAGTTTATTTAGTCACACTAATTATTATTCTCAAATTATGATTTTAATAACGATAAATAGTATGAACGAAAAAAGATAAGAAGACAAAGGATGAGAACAAAACCTACCCATTAAATCTTGTACACGTGGAGTACATCGTTCCAGTGAAATTGTTACATCTGATGTTTCAAAGCATAAATATTTATGAAGTATTGGTAAAGATAGTGTTGTTAAATCACCAAAATAAAGATCTTGTAACCAGCGTACATTGATACATGGTATATCCCATAATTGAGCCATTTCATACTTTTTACCCGATGGTCTAAAATTTATTACAATAAACTTGTAATGATAAAAACAAACACGAGATTAATTAAAGGAAATAAAATGAAGTATAACCCATCGGTAGCTGAACCAGGAATTCGATTATAAACTGATAATATATCATACAAAAAATTTGCCAGAAACAGACTTAATGTGTGATGTTATGGGTAATGTTAAGTAGTTACAGGCAGTCTGAAGAAAATCCTGCGTAAATACTTTGCGTTAGTTGATATTCCCCACCAAGATTTCCCTAAAATCTTCATAAAACTGATGTTCTCTGCAGGATTCGAATCAGAGCCACTTAGTTTCACAGTTTCAGACAGCGTCACTGAGCTTTAAAGACGTTAATAAAGTATAGCAGTGATTAACGCTGAACAAATTTCGTAACAATCATTATTCATAATAACACTAAGGGGTAGATTGAATAACTAACACCTTTCTTTTCTACTGTTCAACAAATAAATGGCATAACAAACAAACAAACTAGGAAAGAAATAATGTAGCATCATTTTCATTGACTGGAACAAAATGCATGGTCTGTTCGGAATGTTTGTAGCGAAAGATATGCCGTTCAAATCCTAATATTGACGTCAACACTGGGATGTGATCAGTTGACGAGTCCCAACTGAAAAAAAATGAGTTCTGGACTTCACTGCTAACAGCAGCCTAACCACTCTAAGTATAAAATGTGTTTAGTGTCCAATGCAGAGAAGTCGTTTATTAGTTACAGGGTTCTATTCGTATTCAATCCAGTGATTTAGACAATCTAGTAATGTCACTAACACTCATGACAACGTGTGTCCAAAAATCAAGTACAGGAATCTGTATTTCATAAAAGAATGACATCAATTAGGGTCTATTAGACCTTTAAAATGATAATATTGAATTATTATTTGAAAATGTATGAACTGATTTTTTTAAGTTTTGAACAATGAGCATGTTATTCTTTATAAAAGAACTGTGATTGTGTAGTTGTTTAGTTACCATTTTGTCTAGAAAACAATTGCATTTCACAAATTACTACTAATCCGTACATCATATCCATATTTTTATTAACTATAAAGTTTTGGAGATCTTTACATACTATCTATTTGTGTTTTGATTGTCAGTTTAAGAACAATTTATTAACTTGACTAATATGATACAAAAATTGTTTATCACTATGATCTATTAAGCTAAAAATATGCATCTAATCTACAATTTTTTACATGAAATATTTGCCCCCACAGTGCCTTGGTACGGTCGAGGGTGAAGAGAGTTCGCTCTTCCTCTCCAAATGCTTTTACATGGCCACACGTTTACAGCCACTGACATAGAAGTCCTACTCACTGCCTTCTCAAGATGAGGGTGTTGTTTACGAAATTGAAAGGACGAAAAGCGAATGTCCGACACCACTCCAAAAGTGTTGGTGGATATGGGAGATCCACCTAGGGGAGTTGGAAAACATCGATTCCAAACCAATGGTGCACATCGGCTCCAGGATCCCAAAGAAACAAATGGCGTGTGAACCTATTGTTCGTCACCGGCTACCATGGGACTGCATCTTCTTACGATGCTCCACTGCTTTGTGGATCGAGCCTTTAGATCGAAGGCTCTGTGTGGCCCCCTAAGAAAACCACCTGCTTCGGTTTGGGCACCCGGGCAATATCACAGCCCTCACATAAATCGAATGATTTATACGGCGCATATATATTTGGTGCCTCCTTGTATCAATGTACATGTGTTTAAACAAACAAATAAAATAATTAATTAATGTAAATTATTTGTCGATTTGACAAATTTACATATTCGGTTTTTGAAAGAAATTTTTTCGTTGTGATGACCAGTGTGAAACTAACGAGTTCTTTAAACGATAAACGATTTGAATCCAGTAGTTAAAAGTCAAGAGTCTCAACAACAAAGAGACACACAGGTGTGCATTGGTTAAATTTTCAATCAAAAGCAAGGAAACTGAATTAATGTAATACCAGTAATAATGACAAAGGGCTAAACACTGAGAATATGACTCAGCAAGACAAGATGAAAATGTTATATATGTAGGTATGTGGGAATGAAGATAAAGACTGAATACATTTGCGCAACTCTAAACAATTCTAAGTCATACCACCCAACCTAATAAATCAATGAAAGTAGTTATTTCGACGACTTCGAAAAGGTAGTCTACATAGTTAAAAATTTCATGCACTAATCCCATGTTTCGGTTTAGCCATACCTAGCATTCTTCTAGCCTACTAATTTAGTCAGCATCTGTTGGTAAATATTCACAGCTTCATATTATAAACAATGACAACAATAGTAATACATAAAACAATAAATGAGATGAACAGAAGAAAAGGAATAACTTACTGTTTACAAACTAACAATGTGTTGGACGGTTCAAGGTAATCAGTAAAGGTAGCACCGATTTGACGTATGATCATTTCAATTTTTTGACGATCTTTACCTTCGAAACCAGTTAGTGATATAATCTAACATTGTTAAAAAGCATTTATGTAATTGTAATGTGTAGATACATATTTGTCAGAAAAAAAAAAGTAGATAAACAAACTGACAGTTGAATGATCGAAAAGTATCTAACACGCAATTTAAGAATACTACCATAGAAACGAAAAAAACAACAATTCAAAATAAGAGAAGTGGAATGTGGATATTAAACTGTATATCAAGTATGCTTATAACTAAATCTAATCGTTCCAATATCAAATAATTTATAAATAATCTTATTAGGAAAACAAGTACGGAAGTTTCTTTAGATCAGCAGAATAACTGAGATTTTCTCAGTTAATGAATATGACCTACATGTGAAAAAACGAAGAACGCTTTTATTTATTATTTTACACAAAATTGTGTTACTGTACTGCTGAAGAAGAGTAGTTGTTTGCTAATCAGTCTTGTTCTTTATGTCACGAGTTTATTTTTACAAGCGGCCAACATTAATAATCTGATATCATGAGTTATTCAGTTGACCACCACATTATTTAAATGTAGATTATCAGTTTGATCAGCGTTCTATTTGCCAATCTAACAACACGAAATTCTCATGTCATAAATCCCGAAAATCACAGTTTAGTATCATATACATATATATACATCAGGTTTATATCACTACCACTGTTAATAGTGGTAAAAGTAAAAGTAACTCATCAGTAAGTAAACTACTGACAATAATAATAGTAGTAACGATGATAATAGTAATAATAATAATGGCTTCATCCAATATCATGGATTTGGCTGAAGTAATGAATTCTCAGCATCAATTGTGCAACAATGCCACAAATTTCTTTCTTTTTTTACCTGCGTTCACATCGTGACTATCCAGAGAAAAATATTTAAAAATGTTCCACAATAGTAAATATTTTTCATCCATTTACAATAACGGAAGTTTTCTATCAATTCAGCTCTTACAACTAGTTCTCCACATATCATTTATGTATTCCAATCTAATTCATCTCTTACTGTTACAACGGATGAACAAAGAGGAAAATATGTCAACATTTAGCCATTGTAACAATCCCTTGGGTTTTATATAGCAGCACAGGGGTACGTACATAGAGTTAGTATTCAAACATTTGAATAGGCCGCTAAGTAAATAGGTCTGAAAATATGTTTAGATATTAAGATCAACAAACACTCAAGAAATACACTCAACATGATAAAATAAACAAATATTTGAACATCAATCAGATTATATAAGAGATGAATATCAGAAGACGAAAGAATAATAAAAAATAGAAAAAAGGTTGGGGACAGAGTTGAAAAGATGAAGATCGAAAAAGTTTATTAGACAAATGTCCAGTCACTATGGGAGGGAAAGGCTAACCAAACTTTCCTTTTGTATACATAGGTCAGGTTGGAAACGTTTGATAACGATCGCCTCTGCGAAATGGAGTAAGAATGGTGATCATTATCTGTGGATTATTTTGAGCGATTACTCAATCACTTATTGATCTAATTACCTTTATACAACCTCTTAATTATTACAGCATATAGATTGTAAATACAACATACAATTACTAAAATATAGATGAAGAAAATACAAGTTATGTTTTAAGATAAACATGTAACCTTCCCATCTCCGTCATATACAAAATCCACACTTACCTGTGTACGAATAAATGAAAAGGTGATATCTTTGGAAAATGGTGATGGTAAGTGTAAAATTTCAAATGGTGCGATCATTCTACCTTTTGCAAGTATGTCGTTAACCCAATAAATTGTAACCAAACGTTTATGATCTAACAAAGCCTTAAAACAAAAAAAACACAGAAAACAAAATGATAGTGATGGAAATATTATTATTATTATTATTTATTTTAACACATAGATATTGGTACAAGTAGGCACCAAATACATATGCGCCACACAAATCTTATTCCATATGTGTGAGGGCTGTGATACTGCCCGGGTGCCCAAACCGAAGCAGGTGAGTGATGGAAATAACCATAGAAAGAGTATGAATTTTATTAAATAAATCAGTTTACGTACTCAGTACTTTTAACCATTGGGCCCTCATGTGATACAACTATTTTCCGAAAAACGTATCTACCCGATGATAATAATAATAATAATAATAATAATAAGTTTCATTTAATTCAGTGGAAATTCAATAGCAGATAAGTCAAAAAGACCGTACTGGGAATTATAATCAGGATGTACCTTGAGAAGAAGGAATGTAAAGATATATATTTAAGAATACAAGAACCAGAGATCTAAAGGAATATAAAGATGGATTGTATCTGTGCCATTCTGACAAGTTGTCAGCCGTGGCAACCAAAGTCTCTAACCACATAACACAGTTATCCCAAGTATTCTCAACAGGTAATTTGCATTTAATAACATCGCTCAGGCAAGTAGTAAATGATTTCATAGATTGATACTATGTTTTGCTATGGTTGGCCACAACTTTTTCAGATTATTTTTACTCTAACTAACACTGTATATCGAGGAAGGCGGTGGTTGGATAGATGTACAGCTTCATCAATCAATTTGCTATATTTACCTACTAAAAGAGTTTACTTTGTGAGCCAATGATAGGAATTAAAAATAGTTAACATTTACAATGAAGGATTCAACGTACTTGTTTAATCACATCAGGTTCTTCTAGTTGATAATCAATAATAACATGTGTAACTTTATTAGGATCATAAGCCATTACTACTTCTGCACCATGTGAACGCATAACACGTCGCCAAACAATTTTTTGTGATTCAGGTACATTTCGATAGCCTAAAATTAATAGAACACAACCAATTAAACATTCTTCCGGTTTAGACGGTAAAGGATTACCGTCATGACCATAGTAAGTGGGGGTTAATGATATTGCAGGTGTTATAATTGTAGGCGTTGAATGTGAAACATTCATTGGTGTTGAGTTACAAGAAATTTGTCGATTTGCAGATTGTACAATTGTAGTAACAGGTATCTGAGATGCATGTCGAGGTGATTGACCGTTGGCAACATTAACGGTAGATGAAGAATGATTGTTTGATGGTATTTGTGCAACTTGAGAATGATGTGTAGGACGTGGACTAAACGAATGATCAACATTATTATTATGTACTAAATTTTGCCCTGCTACATGATGATATGAAGAATGAACTGTGCCAGTTTGATGAGGATGATTTTGAGCATTGATCACACTGACAGAAGATGAATCACCCATAACCATTTGAGCATTCCCTCGTCCTACTGACTGTCCATGTACTATTTGATGATTTGTTTTTAACTGTTGACTTGAAATAATCCCACCTAAAAGTAAATAAGTAAAAAGATATATAAATATCGATCAAAAGATAATAATTAACAGTGTAGTAAAGCAAATGAACTAAGTCAGGAATAATAACTCCATTATTGAATAGATAGTGAAACTATTTCACGCTAATCAGTGGACGTTACTAAATTGACCTTTGAATAGTAACTATCAGATGTGAAAAGTCTTAGGATAATCTTTTATTTTGCTGATTTCCATATTCACAATGATAAAGACACTGTATATCGTTTATTCTCATCTAATGCTACACATGCAGTTGAAAAAATAATCAACAAAAATCATCCAACACTTAGACGGATCTTGTTACCTTCTTTTAAAATGGAAAAAATAAATTCCTATCAATTGAAACAGACAAACTCAAAATACCATTATGATAGACAGATTATAATTGAGGGGGATAACCATAACCTATGGTAGATAACTTTGAAAGTGATGTAACTCTAAAAAGCAATGTTAGTTGAGTAAATGAATTTATAATCTATCCTTGTAAACAATTTATTATTTTATGTTTAAAAAACACAAATATATGAATAAAGAATATTCTTTGTAATAAATTCTCATCAGCTTCTAGATTAGTCACCTGTTTCTGTATCTATTAATTCAACTTCTCTTGTGGAGCAAGTTATGTTGAAAGACTTTCTAGGAATTCGTATTTTCTTGCATGAGGATAGCTTCCAGTGTGGTTAAGCGAAGGTGTATTCAAAACTGTTGACAGTTCAATTATTTTTTATTAAGTACAAACGGTTCATACAGACAACAACATATCATGTTCATGGTTATCTGTCTAAATCTATCAGACTAAGAATACTACAGACGGACTGGGGCAATAGCTAATAGAATTAAAAATTCGACGCTTGTGTTCTACAGAAATACTGTCAACTGATCTATTTACAGTTTGAGGTTGTGGAGATTTTTGGATTTCATTTAAATTATGAACCAATCAATGTCAGACCACTATTGAAAACCTGGGAGCCAACATTTCTGTAATTTTAAATAATGTACTAGCATGAAACTTGGAACATCAATTGGGACGTATAACTGTAAAAAAATGATCATGTAGATTATGACAGTTATCCATCACGAACAATGAGTGAGGACTGCCCAAAACCATGAATTCCTTGAAGTCAGAAACTAACATCGGTGATCTAAAGGTCAAACCTGCGCGTGAAAAGGAAGGCACTGAGTTCGATTCCCTGTGCCAGGTCTGTGAATGAGCACGGCTGAGGAATTCCATACTAAGATGAGACAGCTGCCCGATGATTCTTGGTTTTCAATGGTGGTCCAGCTAAGAGCGATTCGTAATTTGAGTTGGTGAGACCCAGGAAATTCTTCGAAAAAGCCCAATAGGGCCCTAAAAATACTGGAAAACATTTTATCCAGTCAGTATTGAGTAGACGTTTCTGAGAAATACCTAGAAAGTGTATGGTCACGTGTCACATTTCTGGTTGGATAATTACATATCCTGCTACTACGTTAAGCAGGGGCCCAAGGCCGCCTGAAATACTATAGATACCCTCCGTTTTCTGTACATAAACTAACCTTAGAGTAAAGCATTATTTTTACACTACGTGTCTTTTCTCTCGTGTTCAAGTTGTCATGTAGTGATAGACTGGGGTTATTAGAAGAGCTTAGGAAGCCGATTCAAGCATTGTCAGAAAATTTATCAATTGGAAAAATATGGAAATTCATTATCTAATTTAAACATGATGTCATTTTAGAAATTTCATAATACTAAATAAATTAAAAGATACAAAACATACTTGGATGAATTTGTTGAGGATGCGTGTGAATGGGTTGCTGCTGCTGTTGTTGTTGCTGATGGTGGTTGTGGTGTTGATGCACCCCTTGTTGTTGTGTAGAATGCACAGCATTATTACTATTATTATTACTAGTATTTACCTGAGCTGTTGGACTAGTTTGAAAAAGAACTTTGTTAGCTGGAGCTCGATTAGTTATTTGTGGGACAGCACGTTGATTAGTCGTCAATGTGACTAATGAAGATTGATTTTGATGGAAACCATTTCCAAGTGTATTATTCGTATTGTTAGAACATGGTAGGACAGAACGAAGAAGCATTCCTCCACTTGGGGCTGAGTTAGTGAAACTTCTTCCAAACTATAAAAGAAATTTTAGGTTGAAGTAATCACTGACCTAAAGTAAACTGATTTATCAAGAAAATGTTTAATGCATTCGGCTTTTAAATGATATATATCTTATTCGAAGCCCAGTGATGCATTCTGGCTACTGATATGGAAACAGTTGGAGTTAGTGTAGAACCTGTAACTAACTTACGTATTCACTACCACTAGAAGGAATATCACAACATTATTTGTAGAGGTAATAACCATAATACCTATATAAATGAACCGTAATGATAAGCATACACTAATTCCAATCTGTGACCTACAAGCATAATATGAAACATTGAATAAGTAGTCAGAAAGCACTGATTTACAGTTATATTTATTCCTAATAAATAAACTCTCATTCTAAAGCTATATAACTTTTGAATTATGCGCTCAAGTTAGTTAGATAAAAAGAAAATATACATTACTATTGAGTCACTTATTTTTTACGTAGAAATGATAATACAGCTTACTGTATTCGACATTGACTGATGTTGTGGTGCAGCGATAATTTGTTGTCCAGTCGGTGATTGAAATATAATCTGTTGTGGATGTTGTTGTTGTTGCTGCTGTTGTTGTTGTGGTGTAAAACAACCATGGATTGTTTGATACTGTGGTGAAGCACCGACGCCACCACCCCCAACAGGAACGGCAGCAGCAGGTGAAAGTTGAACCTTTTGTTGTTGCTGCTGCTGCTGTTGATAGTGTGTAGGATGCGGCGTCAATGCAGCAGAGAATTGATGTGGCTGTTGAGGCTGTTGTATATAATGCCGATTCAATTGATTATTCACAGAATGACGTGTAGGCGATTGAGGTGTTTGTATCTGTTGCTGTAATTGTGTCATTTTACCACCACTTGGGATAGTTGAATGTTGCTGAGACAGAATATTCGATGTAGATGGTGATTTGACTTGATTAGGATTAGTGACACTACCACTATTTCCCAGGGTACTATTATTATTATTACTAACATTGCTAGTAGGTGATTGTAAGGCGAAATGAAGTTGTACCGCTTGCTGTTGGTGGTGCGGTTGCTGTTGATGTGTTGAAGTTGTTGCTAAACTACAGTTTGGCTGAATAACTTGTTGTTGTGAATGATTATGATGTAATGTACGATTATCAATAATCATAGTAGGTGTTAACTGTGAATTACTATTCACAGTAGTAGGCGCTGTAGTAGCCAAATGATGTTGTTGTTGGTGATGATGATGAGGATGGTGTTGGTTATTTTCCGATAACAAAGCTTGTTGTACCGGCGACGAATTATACGGTGTCGACTTGATTTGTATAAGTTGACCAGCAGGATTACCAAGACCTACATTACTTCCACCAGTAGATTGCAATAATAATTGTTGAGTGATTGATGGTGATGATGACAATGATGACTGTGAATTGACGATTTGTTTATTATGAGGTGTTTGTTCAATAGTTGTTGAATTATGCCCAGATTGATGAGTTGATTGAAATAAATGATTTGATGATTGAATAGTATGGCCTGTTGAAATTTGATGATGATTAGAAGACAAAGGATGTTGTGGATTAACATGGTTACTAGTTAGTAGAATATCTCCACAACCATCTGAACTGATTATAGTCATATCCGACTGTGATTCCGCGTTATCATTCTATTAAAATTAAAAATAAACGAAAATGAAATTTTCAACAATTGAAACAGGTGATCGAACAAAAATCCTTTTCATCAATTTCGAAATCATTTCTAACATGAATTGAATTTATCAGTCTCTTTTAGCATGTGGACCCTGTGTAGATTGCCTCAATATTATAATTAAGTCACCAGCATTTCAAGTAGAGTGCAGTAGTGACTAGTGAAAGAGTCCAGGACGCAAAATTTTTCCTATTCAAAACACATCACCTAGATATAACTGCACCTCAGTGTTGATATTCATACCGGGAATCGGATCCAGTACCTTTGTTTCAAAAGCTCAACACGTTATCCACATAGCATTTTGGAGCGAAGGGCACTTGGTTCAAGTCCCAGTTTAAACACCCACACTGTGATGCAAATACATTCAGCTGACGAGTCCTAAATAAAGGCAAAACGATTGTCCTAGATTTCACTACTGACCAACCTTTCACTTTTCCTAAAATGCTTGTGACTTAATGGCAATATTGAGGTGTTTCGCACAGGATACATACATGTCGAAAGGAATTGATCAATCGAAGTCCATTATATCGATAGAAAGATCCAAACAATCAATACGAATGAATGACTTGAATTCAGTGAGTGCTAATTATGCTATCCGGCTACGCAAAGCCGAAATATATGGAGTGGAATTTCAATATGGGACTTAGTGGCTGAGAGTCAAACGCCTTAACCAATAAATAATGCCAATATGAACATACCCGCATTCAATAGATAATTTATAAAGACTTACTTGTTGATATGGTTGACGAGTAGTACGAACTAATAAAGTTGGCTGTTGAATTGGTGCGGTATGTTGAAAATGTTGAACATTTACCTGAGGTTGGGTTTGTTGTTGTTGGGCTACGGTTGAATTATTAACAGCAGTCAATATACTACCAGTACGTTGATAAGGATCTATGGTAAAAGAAACGTATATATATATGAGGGGAATTACAACATTAGTATTAAACTGATTTTCAATTAAGTATATTCATATTTCATTACATAAAGATGCTGTAGGCAGATTCAAACATTCAGTGATTAGTGAATAAAATTCCGACTCATATTTTTAAATCAATCTACGTTTGGATACAGATGAAAGTTCTCTTCAATCAGCAAAATAACTTGAATTTATAATAAGAAATATATCAGTTCTACAAGAGGTCACTCGTGGCTTGAATAGCTCATAATAGTAACATATGATAATGTGGAAGTGAGAGATATGAGTTTGAATCTCAGTGAACACATTAATTCGCTTAAGATTACAGATAGACCGTGTTGAAGAGTGGCGACTAACAAGAAATCTAGACACAAAATCTCCGGCCGAGTACGTCGGACTATTTATCATTTATATAGACAAAATAATTATAGCTACAATAGATTATTCTAAAGAAATAACATCATCGTTATCATCAATCAAAAATATTTTAAGTTAAATTTACGAGTCGATTTAAGCTAGGTCATCAGCGAAAACATGGAAGCACTGGACAGCCATTTCATTCTAGTAAAGGACTCCTCACCCTCGAATGCCCTGGTACGGCCGAGAGTGGGGAGAGTCCGTTCTTCCTCTCCAAATGCTCTTACATAGCCACGCGTTTACAGCCACTGACATAGAAATCCTACTCACTGCCTTCACAAAATGAAGACGTTGTTTACGAAATTGAAAGGACGAAAAGCGAATGTCCGACACCACTCCAAAAGTGTTGGTGGATATGGGAGATCCACCTAGGGGAGTTGGAAAACATCGATTCCAAACCAATGGTGCACATCGGCTCCAGGATCCCAAAGAAACAAATGGCGTGTGAACCTATTGTTCGTCACCGGCTACCATGGGACTGCATCTCCTTACGATGCTCCACTGCCTTGTGGATCGGACCTTTAGGTCGAAGGCTGTGTGTGGCCTCCTAAGAAAACCACCAGCCTTGGTGTGAGCATCCGGGCAGTATTCCAGCTCTCACACAAATCGAATGACGAAGTAAGGCGCGTACGTATTCAGTGCCCCTTTGTACCAATATTTATGTGTTCAAATAAATAAAATAAATGGGACTCCTCAGCAGTGCGTACCCACAATTCAGAACAAGGGACTTGAACCCAGGACCTTAGGTCTTGTGCACGGACGCTTAGATTCTATACTACTGAAATGATATCCAATGGTGTTAATGCCTAACTACAATCGATCAATGATCTTGCGCAACCCTTCATCCATTGTCTGAGGTGGATAACTGTCTCACACTCGACAAGGATTGAACTCCGATAGATGGGAACTGTTAAGGAGTCCCATATTAGAAGTAAAAAGCCGTCCAATGCTTCTAGGTTTTTAATGATGGTGTAGCTTAGATCGACTTGTGAATTCAACTGTTAAAATACTACAATCACCACAAATACCCATATAAACAAAAATATTTGTACACATAAAAATAAAATTCATTTGAGAAATTCCTAACTACTTTGAACAGCAAATGACTGTGTATGCAATTGTCCATGCGTTGTTTGTTGTGATACACTAGCTACAAGTTGACCACATGGATGTCTTTGTACAATATAAGCTGATGTTCCACCTTGTACTGACGACTGTGGTTGATGTGATGCAATTGTAGCTGTGGTAGTTAAATAATGTTGCATAGTCGTAGACCGTTGAAGTTGAGTGGATGTAGGTTGAAGTGAATTACTATTAGCCGGTCGATATTGCATTTGTTGTAAACTACCAGTTAGTAAAACTGAAGGAAGTGCGGAACCAGCACAACCGGCCATCACAATAGATGGCTGTTGTTGTTGTTGTTGTTGTTGAATATGCTGTTGATGAGGTGATGCTAAAGTTTTAGTGGCTCCGGTAACTTTAGCATTTTTTGGCGATTTCGGTGAGACTTTATGACTAAGATTACTTCCAACAGCACGACAAGGTGATTTTGGTGATTTCGGTTTTCGATGACTTCCAGAAATTTGTGAATTGGTCAAATTGGATGAACTACCATAGCTAGAATTAATAAGATTGCTCAAATTAGATGGATTTCCTCCTTGAGATCCAGAAAATGAATTTGATCCGTTTTGATTATGTCCTGTATTACTATTGGATGAATGAGCTTCAGAAGATGATGCTGACGAAGAGCCTCGACCATGAGATGATTCCTGTAAAGTTGAACAAAATAAAAGAACTTCGTACAACACGTTATGAGTTAGATTTATCTAAAACACACCAAATATCATTTCAACAATTTAAAGCTAAGAAATATCTAGTTGTGATTACAAATTTAAAACAATAAAAACACTTTCTCAATGAAGGGGAACAATACGACAAAAACCTTGTAAAAATAGAAGCACGCTACCCTTAAGCTATTCCCCCCCCCCAAAAAAAGGCGCACAGCATCCATTTTACATTCATAAAAAATATACCTATCTATTACTCTCATATAAAATAATTCTCAATATAAAACTTCCTTTAAAAGTGTCAATTTTCTTTAATCACTACTACCAGTAGTATTGAGTGGCTATGAAAGGGAAGATAATTAGGCTCAATCAAATTGTTATTTCCTTAGATATCTACGCTTTATTAAACACACACCAGTTGAATAACAGTGAAATTATTCTTATACACTTCATAATAGTGAATAGTTCATTTTGGCGGAAGACGATATAAAAAGAAGCATCACCGTCATCATTTATACAAAATAGAGTTCACTAAAACATTAAAATAGTCTCAGATTCCATAAGACAGAATGGATATAATCAATCCAACAGTCCATAATGTAAAAAGAATAGAAGACAAAAGCAACTATATAATAATGGGAAGGTTATTGACAGAATCACTTGTTATCTGTTATCTGTTGTTGTTGCTTTTATCTTCCATTCCATATATCTGTTTATAACACTTACCCGATTCCATGTGTGCTGTAAACTGAGAATATTTTTCACATTTTGCATAACAATAGCGTCTTTTTCTTCTTCATTCAAATTTTGCTCTTGCATGTGCTTGCTAGACTTTGATTTACTTGTCTTGCCATGATGTCCAGTAGTCGTAGTACTGGTGGCAGTAATAGTAGTAGTATTAGTACTAATACTACTAGAACCACTGCCGATGTTGCCACATCCTCCTCCATTATTCCCAGTAATACTGTTTAAAGCATTACCACCAGTATTTGCAGTCAATGATGTTGTCAATGTGATAGTATTACTAATACTACCACCACCATTATTACTATTACTACCAATTACTGAATGTCCGCCAAGTGTTGTTGTAGACGTTGTAGCCGGTAATAGACTATTAGTCAAAATTACATTAGTATGATTTGTTGATACACTGGAAGTAGAATAATTAGTTCCTAATAAAATAGGATTTCCATGAGCATCTATAATACAAAATATATAAATATATATATATATATATGTTTATACATGGATAGGTGTAGATAAGTGTAAATTAATAAATTATTAAAATAGAAGCTAAATATAATTTTTGAATAGGAGAGAAAAATATCTGAAAAGACCATTTAGTTTATATTTTAATTTTACAACCTAGTTTGTCAAAGAATTAATCTCTCCATGTATTATGTTTCATGTATAGATTTTGAGTATTGTGTACATTTTAAATACTGGAATAACAAGATAGGCAATTGAGTAATATACATGAAACAATATTATAACCTTAGTTAACTAAGGTTAGGGTTGTAATGTTGACGTTTTTTTAATTCTCAATTCTTATTTCATAAATCTGTATTAACACAGATAAACACTAATGTTTCTCTTTCTCTCTCTGTAAACACAAACTGAAATATTGTTCAAAGCACAGGACTTTAAACTGCGTTAAGTTAGTGAGTGCTTTCTTTCATTATCACTGTATATTTAGTTCATATTTATTATGACAACCTTACTGAAATCAGATGTGTCTACCTCAAATCAGTCGATCAGAACCAATACAGAGACAAACATGGATGTCGATTGGTCCAGAGGTTACCATGCTATATCAACATGAAAGAAGATTGATAACATCAATTGCGAAGGAACTGATAGCAAGAAAGAGTAAGCATTCAAAATATGGTTTGAGAAGGAATGCAAAGGTATTTATGTGGGAATAATGTGACGTAAGATCCAGAGGAAGATAGAAGATGGATGTATCTCTACCAGACTGACAAATTTTCAGCTATGTCACCCAGTGTCTCGAACCACTGGATATAGTTGTTGCAAATATCGCCAACAGATAGTTTATATCTATCAACATAACTCAGACTAATAGTCAATCATTTCATGAACTGATGTAATGTTTTGATTTAATTTCTCATTCCAACTTCGACTTCAGCCAACATTGTATGTTGAGGTGAGCGGTAGTTGTGTATACACATCATTCACACCATAACCACTTTAATCAATGAAAATTTACAACCTCATCAATTAGCTTGAAGTAACATATAGTACACAAGAACAGCATGCTTAAAATACCGATTAGTAAATACTAATACTTTGATAATGTTATGATACAGCGATTTAAAAATAATCAAACACTGGACCAATATAATACCAAATAAGAACTTTGTATTATGGTTAAATTAATTCATGTAACTCTGTTCTCATTCCAACGTTTTGTAAGCGAAAACTAGCTATTTATTTATTTGAACACATAAATATTGGTACAAAGGGGCACTGAATACGTACGCGCCTTACTTCGTCATTCGATTTGTGTGAGAGCTGGAATACTGCCTGGATGCTCACACCAAGGCTGGTGGTTTTCTTAGGAGGCCACACACAGCCTTCGACCTAAAGGTCCGATCCACAAGGCAGTGGAGCATCGTAAGGAGATGCAGTCCCATGGTAGCCGGTGACGAACGATAGGTTCACACGCCATTTGTTTCTTTGGGATCCTGGAGCCGATGTGCACCATTGGTTTGGAATCGATGTTTCCCAACTCCCCTAGGTGGATCTCCCATATCCACCAACACTTTTGGAGTGGTGTCGGACATTCGCTTTTCGTCCTTTCAATTTCGTAAACAACGTCTTCATTTTGTGAAGGCAGTGAGTAGGATTTCTATGTCAGTGGCTGTAAACGCGTGGCCATGTAAGAGCATTTGGAGAGGAAGAACGGACTCTCCCCACTCTCGGCCGTACCAGGGCAATGCAACCATCCTGCCCATATTGAAGCAGGTAAAGTGGGATTTGCACTTGTAAACCATTAGTTAAAAGATATTTTAACTATGCTACTAGTACTACAGTTTCCGGTGTCTGTTTGTAGTTAATTCAATTTCATAATGACTAAATTTATTGTGAGTCTGATAAATAGTATAAAACAGTTTGAAACTAAGGTAAATATGAATATATTTAAATATATAAAACCTGATGACTGAATAAAATGATATGTTATCCAATGCAATTCGTTGAAAATACTAATTAATAATTTCAAACGAAGTGATTTAACGGTAGCTTACATATCACGAAACCATCAGATTGGTTCGAAATGAAAACTATTTTTAAATCAAACAAACGAGGTAGAAATTCGCTACGACTAATCAATCAATTATCTCCAACACGCATAAAAAGTTTTGTATGGAGTAAAGTACATGGGCTACATTGTCTATTGGGTGAGTAAAATTGAACTATTCAGCGCAATTAATATGACTATATACTGTGTAATATGAATGAAAAGTTATTTACTTACCAGACCCTCCAGTTTGTTGCATTAGCCCTTGTTGAACTGTAGGATCAGTATAAATTGGTAGAGTGGACGGATAACGCTGAAATGAAATATTTACGTATTATATACATATATATATAGTACTTAGCAAAACTATAAAGATAGAAATCAATTGGAAGTGAACAGTAGTTTTCAGTTAGGCACTAATCTCTCTCATAACAAGCATTTCTTATTTCAACGGGTGATTTTCATTCCAAATAACCTTAGTGTAAAATCACTAAAAGTATAGCATAACAAAATCAACGATCTTCAAGGTTATCGAGTCCACGAACCCTAAACGTTTCAAAAGGAAGTATGATGACTTTGAAAAACTAAACTAGGCAAGGTTTTATTTAAAAATATATTTGTTGTATTATGAAGAAATGTCGTTCGACATAACTAAATAAAATAAAGAATATGAAATAATACGGAAAAGATTAATTTTTTATCATCACTTAATTGTATTGTCGTAAACAAATCTATGGGTGATTTTGTCAGGTTTAATGTCGTCTAATCTGTCTCAAAGATGACAAGAAATCACATATTATAATTAGTTTAAGTAAATTTCGAGAAACAAAACTCTAACATCATAGATATAGAAAGTATGCTTCTAACTAACCTGTGCAACAGCACCCTGCGGACGATTCAGTGCGAATCGCTGAGAACCAACACCACCCCCTCCGCTAACAGCCCCCATATTTGGAGCAACTGGATAACGATTTGGTACAGGTGGTGACAGTGGAAAACGTTGTTGTTGTTGTTGCTGACTACCACTTCGAAACTGATCTTGAGAGGCTTTTTTAGACGAACTACGACCTGAACCGCTGCCACCGCCGCGTGAATGTCCACCACGACCAGGTTTATTCGGAGGTACAGGTAATGAACCACTACCATATGGTGACTTTTGATCAGCATTTCTCATATTCTATAAAGAGAAGAATGCAATGCAGAAAAACAATTAGAACAGTAGTGATGAAATACTTTGAAGTGTATACATCATTTACACAACTAAAATAGTCATGTACCCACCTACCGCCTAGTAGAATATATCATATTTCAATTCCGGTGTACTATTAGTGTAAAAAGCAGTTAATTTAACAACTATAAATGATTCAACCAAAAAACACGTATTGATGTTTTATAGACGCCATAGAACAAAACATAAACAAAGAAATTATAAATACATATTTAGTGAATGTTTCCCCTATGTCTCAACCAGTTTTACTTTGTCTGTACGTTAAATGCTCGACATATCTCAATTTTTCTTCGACGACTTGTTATCCGAATCCATGAAACAAGCTCTAGAAACAAGTATCAACAAAATTAAAAGAACAACACTAACCGATGATACACCAAAAGTGGGTAAAATCGTGTATCTGGTAAGAATAAAATCAGCTGAGAGGTCAGTACTTCCAGACTGATAAAAACCCTTTAACCTTATTGCCTTACGGATCCAACTCTAATTAGTTAATAAACAGAGGGGAGAAATTTAATACGGATATGAAAGGACATTGGTGCTTTGATTAACATTAACACTCTTTATATTACTGAAAGATCATATTAAAAACAAATATAATTCGAAGAATAAGTTATTGAAAAAAACCCTAGATAACATGAGGAGTAATTCATAGAATTAATAACTTCAAAACAAATAATTTTACACGACTATAAGTTTTAACACTATATGCAATCAGTAATTTTCGAGGCATGAATCTAGAAATCATCATATAAGTGAGGGTAATCGGTAAATATTATTGGATATTAATTTAATACAACATGATAGAGGTTTGTAGTCACTTTCGTGCTACATTTTTTTGAACGTGAGAACTAGGGATATAGTATCGATACCTAAACCGAAGAGTTATGTAACATCGAGTTTAAAACCACAGGTATTACTGCTGCAGTTGAACAAACAACAGGAACAGGATGAAAAAAGGGGAGAAGTGGTAATTTTTTGTGATATGGTTTGCTATGAAAGTTGTATGGGACTGGAATCTGTCAGTTTATCACGATTTCCTGCCTAGGGTCATAGAGATGGTAGAACTCAGGGGCTTAAGACGTTATCAGGTATGGAACAAAATAGAAACGAATGGTAATCTGATTGTAGTTTTCTTAGTTGTATTTTTAATAAAACTGAATTTCCAACTACAAACTATTCTTGTTCGCTTTCTTTCATTATTTATTTTGATTATACTCTCCCTGCCTGTCTCCTTCCTCTATCTCTCTACAATCACATTTTCTTATATGTGTGACATATATTTGTTTCGGTGCTCATTTTTACAATTACATCTTTCATGCCGTTAATTATGAGTATTCCTGTTGTCTTTATTTTTTCTACCGCTGGAAGAGCTTTCATACTTGACTTGATTACTATTCCGCTTGACTATGGACAACATTTATGATCATATCTTGGTTTATACATAATACCAAATAATATAAACTATCAGTCTTCAAAATATTTCAGTAATGTTTAATGTTTACTAAATAAAAGACTCTACATACCGAATACTAACTAGATAATTCATATGAAATTGTAAAATTCAACGAAATCAATGAGAGTACTAGTGATTATTTATGTAATAACTGATTAAATAGCGGTGTGTTATACTCAAATGTGATCAGCATAAGAAGGTTGCGGAAATCACTGGATTGACTTTAGTTGAACAACCATTGAAAACCAGGAAGCACTGGACAGTTATTCTATCCTACTATGGGACTTCTCAGCAGTGAGCATCCACGACCCAATCATGGTCTAAATCAGCACTTTTAGAACCCACGGTGACTGTTATTTATTTGAACACAAGTATTGACACAAACGGGCACCAAATACATATGCGCCACACAATAACAATGAGAATGTGAAGAGATAGAGAATGTAACGTGCGTATAAGAAAAAGGGGAACAATAAAGAACGGAAATTAGTGTATGATAGTGAAATAATAACAATAATGAGAGGGACAGTTCAGTTAGCACATGTACAACCAGAAAGAATTCTTCCAGTTAAAGAAGGTACATCCATTTTTTATGAAGAAAGTAAAATAAAGTTACAGCAGGGTCGCCACTGGCTTCTATTCTGGGCCATATCTGATGACGTCTCAAGCCAATATGTTGCACTATATCTAAGACCCCAACCAGGGAGTCATGAAGGGCCGACATATGCTAGTGATGTACAACGTCCTATCATACCAAGACACCATGGTCACACACTGACCACCTCTTCACTTTTCCAACTAGTTCCAGTATCGGCAAATAACGCGCGATGTGGAATTCTCTGGAAAGACATTCGTGGTACATATCCAAGCCACAGAAGTCGATGTTTCAATGTGGTGACACTAAAATGAACTATCGTCACTGTTCCCGAACACACGATGCCGAACCTCTGAATTACCAACAACGTGTTGCCACTGGATGTCAGCAATCCTTCGGAGACAACGATGACCAAACACAGAGAGTCGTCTAACATCCTCAACTCGGAGAGGTCAGGTTTCACAACCATAGAGCAAAACTGCTCTCACCGACGCGTTGTAGATCTGACCTTTTACAGTTAGACTAACATCACGAAGGCGCCAAAGATGGCTCAGATTGGCAAGAGCCGTTCTGGCTTTCACAATGCCTGAATTGATTTCATCACCCGCGCCACCACCAGCACTTACACACCTACCCAGATACACGAACTTCTCCACTACTTCTATCCGCTCACTACCCAGGGTGAGTGCAGGAACAGGGTCCCACCAGTCTTGTAAAAGTACCTTGCACTTCGACGGTGCAAAGCACATACCATACCTACGGACATTGATTGCCAACTGATTAAATGCGGATTGCATGGCTTGGGCATTATCGCACAGTAAGACAATATCGTCTGCATACTCAAGGTCGAGAAGTCTTTCTCCAGGCAACAGACCCACACCACCAATACCTACATCCATCAGAGCTGTTTCCAGAACGTTATCAATGACAAAGCTGAAGAGAAATGGTGAGATCGAGCAACCCTGTCTAACCTCAGTGGAGAAAGGTGGTTTTACACCCTCACTCTGCTTGAGGTATTTGTATATAGGGCTTTTAGGATATTATTAAAATCCTCGGGTGCATCCTTCTTCAATAGACAATTCCAGAGAACAGTCCTATCCAACGAATCGAAGGCAGCCCTGACGTCAAGAAACACTACGATTGTTAGTCTTTGGTAAGTATGACGGTATTCTAACATTTGGCAGAGGGTGAAGATATGATCAATACAGCCTCGACCAAAACGAAAACCAGCTTGCTCCTCGTGAGTCAATCTTTCTCGGGTTTTGAGCAACCTACGAAGTATGACGAAAGCCGATATTTTGGACGCAATCGGATTTATACTTATTTCTCCATAGTTGTTACAAAAACGAAGATAACTCTTTTTAAAGATAGGGATGACTACCCACATATTTCACGATGTTCGAACACTCTCTACCTGCCAAACCTTTGTAAATAACCCAGTCAGTTCCTTAACCAGAAAGTCAAAACGATCTTTAAAAAGGGTCGGGAGTAAGTCATCTGAGCCTTGTGATTTGTAGTGCTTCAGGAGTCGGAGTTCCTTGAGGACTCCCGCCTCGTTAGGTAGATTAGTCGTCACGATCGATGGAGAGTGGGACAGTCTGACCGATGTTGCCAGGACAGCAAACCAGTTGAACTGCTCCTCGAAAAACTCTGCCCATCGCCCAGGACGCCAATAGATATTTTTGATCCCATTAATTTCACATACTGTTTCACTCACACCAGACCTCTTGCTGCCAGTGGCTCGGGTAAGTTGAAAGAGCTCCCGGCAGTTACTAGATGCACCTGTTGCTTTCAACTCGTTAGCATGCTTAGACCACCACGCTTCTCGGTTTTCACACTACGCAACAGTCGTTGTTTGTGGTCAAACCCAAGGTCACCCGGAGCAGATCGACGGTCTTTAATTAGTTGCAATGACCCTGAAGAAACCCAGTGCTTATAGGCGGGACGTTTCGCGAAGCCATTTCCATGACGTCGTGCAATTGCAACCAATGCTCATCTATACTTTTCCGTGGGATGTTAGCTAACCTTGGACCTAGCTCGGTTTGATATTTAGTCGCAACAGAAGCCGTGACCAACTTACTGACATCGAACCGTTTAGGACGATGAATTTTTTGGCCACTGAAACGTAAGGTAAGATTAGCGCAAACAATGACATGATCCGAGTCCAGATAGGTACTTCAAAAGGAGTGGCAATCTTGTACACAACCACGCCAGAGGTAGCTGATGGCGATGTGATCTATCATAGTCCAGGCTTGAGGAAGGGCGTCAGGTGGTATATCGGCGATGACTGTGTCGATAGTTAGTGCTAGCCAGAAACAGATTGTAGTCTGCGCACAGTTGCAGTAAACGGTCCTCGTTATCTAACCTGCGACCAACAAGTCCTCATCGGCCACCCAAACGACTCACTTCTTTGCCTAGACGCCCGACCTGAGCACTCAAGTCTCCAACTAGTACTGCAATATCTGTCGAACGCACCTTCTGTGAAGAACTGTTAACTGGTGGTAAAACACCCCTGATCGAATTCGGGCTACAATCTGTCGAAAAATAGGCGGATACGACGAAAAGACATCGTCTCTTACATCGAGTTTTTCTCACCTTGATGGAAATTTCTAATCTAACAGCACATAACTAACTGTTAATAGAGACCCAATCGATCAGTGCTGCCTCAGCTCTAGCGCTTAGAGAGACACCAACGCCAGCAAAACCAGAAGATGTCACGGGATCCCCAGATATACGCACGTAAAACAAGCTTTTCGAAGCGACAGCCGGAATCCCGTTGTTGATATGTCTAACACCAATCCATCGACGGGATTGTATGGCCAACCAATATTAACCTGAATACAACAACTAACCAATAAACTAGCAAACAAGCTTTTAACGAAATGAATTTACTCACTGAAACTTTGAAGATGTGTCAAATCTTCCTACTTACAAGTAGTTTAAATGAAAAACGATAAAGTTCTATATTGAAATTATATGTTCTATACAATTCATTCCTTTTCAAACTCCCTAGTTTTTAAGTTATTTCTAGCAAAAATTCGGTTCATAATGTAAACCATCTTTAAGAAATGAACTATTCTTATGAAACTTCTAATTTTAATAAATCTACGTTCAATCTTGCCTATCATGGTTACTATTTTCATTATTTTGATTTTATTTCGTTTATTTGTTCATTTGAAGTACAACCGATAATGAACGTTTGAATTGTTTTGTACATTGGTGATAACTAACTGCGACACGTTATTCGAAGTTTCTTCACTGTATTGAAACGAAGATTATGATGACGTGAATTAATCTGCTATACTTACTGGCAATAAAGCAATAAATAATCAAATTTAATAACTGTGGGCAGGTTTATGAACTTTGTCTGGGATATTGCAGAGAATAAAATATGGATCAGTTATTAGAGTTAATCTTTAAAACCTTTTTTCAGCTCACTAACACTTAAACTTTCTATGACTTTCTCAAGATACATTTAGATGTGAAAAAAATTACGCTACCGCAAAGATGCATAATACATTATATAACTAACTTATTGCATAAATTCATTACAATAATTTTTGTGAAAGTACCTGAACTCTAAAGTAAAAACCTTTGAAACTGTCTCTGTTACACAAATGCGTTTATTAGTTGAATTATGAACACCAATCCGTTAAATAAAACAGTGACTTAATTAGAAATGTACCTCCATCAGAAGCTATTTATTTCCTGTACAGTGCTACTTAGTTCTAATACAAATCGTACTCATGTTATTAGAAAACTCTCATTTCTATTTACTTTCAGCACTGTTTATTCGACAATCTTCTCACATAAGGTCAGTGTTTCAAAAAAACACGATCGAAAGACTTTTTCTCTACATTACCCAACTTTAATGACCATGTTTCATAATCTTATAATACTATACAGAGAATTATTGTGCACTATTTTTGTCCTTTCATAGACAATTAGGTAACTCACCAGTATAACATAGGTGATGTAAATCGATAAGTGCCAAACGATAATTCTTAATTCATGTTAAGATTTGTTAAGAGATAACTGTTTTCAAGTTTATGAAACCCTGCAAATAACCAAAGTGATCCAGATGTTACCTATTCCCCAACTAGACAACAGTGTGGACCGGTGACGTAGCATCAAATTATTTTTAATAGATGAGATATTAACGCCAAAATGTCTTGGACTTCTTCGAAACACACCCTTCCAATTTATATTTCTAGCACTTATGAAAATTATGTGATAGCTGTAAATAAACATATAGGTTTAGATTTTGACCGACAGAACTTCATTGCTCAGCAACCTAGTTCCTCATAATACCTGAATGACAGCAGTAAGCTATCATAAGCCTCTTCTTTATTTTACATGTATACGTCAACTTAATAAATTATCAAAGTAAAACCGTTTTCCCATTTACATACCCTAATCTTGTACAGAAATAACTGTGAAAAAAGTTTGCGACTTACAATTGGTTGAACGCTTATTCCAGTAGCTGCTTGTACGTTTGTTCCGCCCGATAATACTGTCGATAACTGGTGGGTAGACTGTAATGTATGGTGCATGAGTTGATTAGTTTGTACCAAGTATTGTTTGCTTGTATGAATTTGTGACTGCTGATGTTGTGGGAGTGGAAGTGGTGGCTGTAGTTGTGGTGTATTCGTACGATTCACTATATTATCATTTGTAGTAACAGTGATATTTGCATTAGAAGTCAAAGCAGTAGTACCAATAACTTCAACGACAATATTATTGTTATTACCATGCATTATTGAATCATTAGCTAATGTAGAATTGATAATTAAATTATTTTCTTGCTTTATCGAGTCATTTATAGAATTATTAGCATGACATAAGTCTAGTTCCTTAGGCTCATTTAATTGTTGTTGTGGCTGTTGGGGCTTCTTTAAACAGGTTTGTTTAGACGGAGATGATAATGATGTACGAATTAACAAATCAGGATGATATGATGTACATGGTAATAAATTATTTTGTGATAAGCAATCAACAATCCAATCAGGTGTAACTATAAAGGGTTTTGAACTATTCTCATCATAAGCAGCATTGTCATTCGCCAATTTATTAGTACAATATTTGTAGAAATTCTATATAAATAATACCAAAAGATATGAAAATTACTAATGATGAAAGAGCTATATAAGTATTTGGGAAAAAATGTGGTACAAAGGACATTTACTAAGAATGCAGAGTAAAATGTAAGATTCTTAAAACTGTACTAAAAAAACAGCCAGAAAAAAAAGTCGCTGAGTAGTGTAAATAACCTACCTGCAATTATGAAGGTAACATAAATTGGTGGGTAGAAACTTATACTTTATGTGTTGAAGCTACCTTTTCGTACCGACCTACTAACAAAACGTTTACAAAACATCAAAAAAAGCTATACTCTGCCTAGCATAGGAACTCACAATGTTTAAAAATGCAGACAAATTATAGCCTCTGATATCGAGGAATAGTAAACACTCAACAACATTTTCATTCAAGGATCTTAAAGAAAACTCGGACAATGAACTTACGCATTTAGCCATACTAACAAAATAGATTTTTAAAAAAGGCAGGAATACACATGATATACTTACTCCCGCCGCCTTGGCAACAACCACATGAGTAACAGACTTATCCAAGTAATGACACATTTGACCTCCATGTATAGTAACATGAGCCCATATTGAAAGCTGATCGGCTACACTCAACTAAAATTATTAAAAGTATAGATGGCATCAAAACAAAAATTTTTACATACTCCACTGCATGTAATTACTGTCCCTGCGAATATATGTTTAAAGTCCGGATGAAAAGGACGAAATCTGTAAGATTTTTGAAATAGGAAAAATTATTAAAGCTTACGGCAAAAATTTTTGTGCTTCAACAGAGAGTTTCACCCAATGACTCTAAATCAAGTTAGCGAAAAGGGAATAAATGCATTACAGTAACAACTGGGACAGCATACAATTCTTCCGCCTCACCAACTTCCGCAAGAGATGGGTCATCACTGATAGCAAAACGTACACTTTCTGATAGGAAGGGATGGCTCACAGCACCCAAAGACTTAAGAAGATCAACTACCTAAATTTCGAGTGGATAAAGAACAGACAAAAACAAATGAATGAGCAACTTTGAAGACAGGATAAATTACCTTTTCATATATATATATATTAATAAAACCTTTAGTAAACCCTTTCACATCGATATTTTCTGCACCTGAGTGAAACTTAGGTAACTATGACGATTGTTTGTGGTATTCATGGTTCAGATCCAGTATTTAAAATGCCTATACCGTTTGGTATGCCTTTCAACGAGATCCTCGTAAAACCTCTTGGTTGAGACGCCATCTTCATATCAGTGTATATAGTTATATTTTTAGGTAGATCTAAATTCCAGAAACCGTCGAAGAATATATTCAAGTAAGTAGATATGCCTCCAAAGACTAAAACTAGTACAGGTTTCAACAAGATCTACAGGATGTGTTACTTTAAAGAACAAAAGATACGATCCCGTAAGCTTGTATAGTTACCATATGTTGTGAAGATTAAATATGCAGCTGTCAGCGTAACAATGGTGTTTATAAAGACTCTGAACATACGATATTTTTCAAACTAAGGTCAAATCTAAGCTAAACGAATTGCTAAGCTGCTATTAGGATTTTCTGTTTTCTCAAGATGTTCTAAACGGCTAACTTGTCCTCAGATACATTCGGAATAATTCTAACCTGGAGATTAGATTAAATGAATCTTTCTATTGGAACTTTTGTATCCACTAAGATGCAAAACGTATGCACCATCCTCAGCATGATAGAGATTCATAAATTCTGCACAGCATTTAGCAATACGTTGCTTGTTAGCTGTGAAAATTAATGTATGATAGTAGGAGGCGAGTAAGTTGCAAGTACTTGATCGAATATGTTAGGCACCGGGTATCCCACAAAAATAGTAAGCAGGTTGATGAATTTTTAAGCTTCTATCAACTAAAGTGAGTAGAATATTTACCATTCAAACACATCCACCACCAACACGAATGACTACGGCTGCTTAGAAATGAGTAGGCAAACAGACATGGCACTAGTTAATAAAACAATCGGCTGTTCTCTAAGACAACGATGGAACCTGTGAAGGAACAGTAATCTCTGAGTGTGAATCTGAGTTAACAGTGGGTAGAAATCAGTTGTATTTAGTCAGTTATACTAAACATACGCTACATAAAAATGTACGTTAGCGTGAGTGTGGATGGATTTGCTAATCACCTTTCTTTAGATTTTAAGCTTTATCACTACATAATTGAGTTACTCTTGAAAAATTTCAATTAAAATGGGTCACCAGTAGCTCTGAAGGACATTAGTATTTCGCTTTATCTCTTAGTTTGATTGGTAAAACTGAAACGACTTAATCTGAAAATTTGAATGACTTTTAACAATGCAGATACACCTAGTAGTGAAGAATAAGCAAAATCTTATATAGATTCTCCTATGAAAACAAATTTTCAGACACTTAACGACATTCTTCGTAACATATTGGTAAAGATGGTTGTTTCTGAAGTCAGTTCAAAACTATGTATTAAATGCGATATCAGTCTGTCACTAGTCAAGTCGTATGACATTTTTACATGATCTCTGTCTGGATGATATTGAGGTCTGCCCCTACTAGACAAGAGGACTCGTAAAGAGGAAGTCGTTTAGTTTACACTCACCACCAATGAGACCTACGTATACAACCTTAAGTCCAAAGATTGGTGTATAACCACGTGATTCCAGAACACCAAAAAAGTGTTCCAATAAGGAATATTGCTAAAAGTATGATGTCATACTGTGCCGAACGTAATACAACAGCTTTGAAATGTACAGTCGAAGACATCAGAAAGCACATTTCATTAGTCAAATTACATCGGAGACATCCGGCCACAAGGACGAAATATTAGGCAGAAAGCAGAGCAAACACATACCTCTTTGTCATTACAGGAAATGATGAAGAATTTCGCATCTTTAAAGACACTCTGTTCCATAGGAAACGCCTAGTTTATCTTCAGCGCCAACAGCATCACTCAAAAGTTGCGCGCAATTGGTCATGAAAATAACTAAATCCTAGCTGGTCTACACATCATCGTTGCCTCTAATTAAGTGTATTCATGTAAATAAGTTTATGCTGATTTTCGAAACAGAGTTTGAGGTATCGCGAATGTCAAGAGTACAGCTTCACGTGTACTGTATCATGGAGTACCTTTCCAAATCCCCTAGACATAACAAATCATGATATCATGTTGGGATTTAAGTGTCCGAAAAGATTAAAGCTACAGATCAAACATAACAAGTTTTTCGAACTATTTTTTGACTGGGAACGAGAGCCTAGAAATAGGCCTGAATGTCCCTATTTACCCACTTTTCCCTAATTTGTGAACTTGCTACAATAATATTCATAAGCCTGTGGTCCCCTTGTAATCGGATTTACACTGAGATGGAATGTAAGTGATGTTTTACCTGTTGAACTCCCTTTATTGCTAGAATACCTAAAGTTTTGAGGAGTATACTATATATATAGTTGGGGGATAATAATCAAAGCTTAATTTTACCTGCTGCCGTTGTAGACACTGAACTATCAATAATACCCTCAGTGACTATAGCACTAAATTCAAAGTCTATATGGTTTCTCCAAGAAAAAGTTCCACAGGTAAAAGTAGTCGGAGGAAATCCTTTATGACCCGGACGGCTAAGTAATTTACATAAGATTCCAGGATCATTGAAGACATTTGCTAGAAATAAATGTTGTATCTTCTCACGGTTGATGGAAGATCATTTGATGTCTGGAAGTACTTCGCTTTCACAGCCGTCAATAAACTGAGAACGATTAAGAATAACTGTGAAATCAACTGTATTATCATACATTTAAATATAGCTAGATAGTACACCAAAGTGAGCGGTAAAGTCTTTTGAATAAACAAAGTTTATGAATTTTTCATTGTGAAAGGACGTAAATCTTCTCATTGCAGCATGATGTGCTCTGTGATACAACGATTTCGACAAAGTACTACAAATTTATGAGTGTTAGGTTAATGAAGTTTATTCCGATCAAACTTCAAAAATTGTCAACAGTATCAAAATGAAACAATGATCCCAAGTTTTAAAAAACAGTATATCCACTAATATTCAGGCGCTATTGCTAAAAGGTATTATAAGGTTGTTTAATGTGTAGTAACTTCTACTTACGCCAAATATTCTTTTAAGTATTTTTAACTCACAGTACTATAGTAAATTCAAATAGTTAATAAAATAATATTAATAATCCACAAGGTACAATAGTGTGATAAAAACATACAGATTGTGAAGAATAATTTACGGATAAAGAATAAATATTATTTGATTTGAGTCTGGACCATTTTAAAATGGTTTTTGAATCTGAACTTGGCACACCAACCCCACGGGAGATAATTAAACTTAAAGGTAAGTTATTGTTACAGTGCTTGTAACAAAGGCTAGCAAGCTGCTGACCGAAAGAATCAAGCAATAGAAAATATTGTCACTTCGAAACCATTAGCTTGTAGTGGCATTGGACCATAACCACACAATCCTCAAAGCTGAATACGAGATTACTCAAAAAATAGATATTCAATATTTAACGTGAAGAAATACCTAACGATGGAGAACGCGCGAACAAGGAATTGAATGAATGGGAGTTGATGGAATGGCATGGCTTGGCCATACAGGCGTGGTCCCACTGAATGTTACCCCATATCTTCTATTCATATTAAATATATTGTTCCTTCTCTAGCCTAACCTTGTTCTACATCATGTATTGGTAATTGATACGATACAGTGAGTTGGTGTAGTCGATGGTGTGACTTCCACGTAAGATCTTATAGATTAGGCAGTTATATCATGACAAATCTACAATTTTAGGATTAGGTCTATTATTAGAGCAGTACTAATATCATAGTAGACCATAATTCTACAAGCTCATTGTTGATAATTCTTCTGTTTTATGTGGGTGTCATATAGCTTTTTTCATCTGTTTACTAACGAAAAAGTACTGATTAGTAATTTTAGTCCTACTGGCTCCGTTTACACGCAAAGATACTCTGAATATACACATATATCCTGTCAAGCTGGTCTGTTTCGTCTACTCTTAACGAGAGTAGGTCAACAAATGTGGAGATTTTAGGGCTAACATATGCATACCAAATATCTCTGACTACAATTCAACTACGATACACTTCAAAAACCGAAATGGCATAAAAGCTAGCTCAAGGTGTTTCAGTGGATTTTTACGTGTTACCATGGTATTTGTTAAAATCGCAAAATAAGCACTGGGGTTAATGATCTGATGCAAACTTTTACTGGGAAAGCATGTACGTCTATCTAAATTTTTAATATGGCAGATTACTACACTAACTGGTAAAATGACATGAGTATCAAAGAGATGACTTAGTGATGAATGAAAACCAGAATAGTGCTTCCGTGCAGAATGGTTTTGCTGCTAAAGATTCCTAACATTTCGGGGTTGAAAGGAATGATTGTCAGTAGCATAATTTTATGGAAATCAACTATTTGAAGCTACTTCATCCTTCCCTGTAATACGTAAAGTGATGATAAAATTAACAGATTATACAGAGTCCTTGACGAGGACAGTTGCGTTTACTCGTTCGTAACCGTGGTTTCTACACTACAAACTGATATGAAATCAGTTGAGTTCATAGTTCACTTCATTAGCTTACAATCAAAATTGGAAAACCTGATGTACGCCTTTATATACAGATCGTATTGCGGAAGCTGCTTTAGAAGAACGAAAATTCCGTAATAAATCCGTAATTTGTGAGTCGCCGCCAATTGTACTAAAATGGAAATAAAAAGTTGAGTTACAGTAATGCTTTTGACAATTACCCAATAAAATATTATGTACGAAAGTAAGTATGCAGCCGCGTGTATGTAACATATCTGTACTGAACACCACAGGTTCACAAATATCAGCGTTTACTCTTAAACATATTGTTCCAGTATTTCCTCTTATATATAAAGGAATTCCATGTAATCATGTTGCTAGTTATCTCTTGTTCAAACCTCAGTACACAAGCTCAGTTGTACCTATTGCCCATGGTTGACAGATTTTAACCAGAATGTCGTAAATTGATGTCCACCAATTAGTGGCTTGATCTCTATTTTCCTCAAGACTTTTAATCATCCCTTTATATGACGTCATGAACTACCATCACTAATGAAGATATCAATAAACCGTTATTGAGTTAACATCAACAATCTTAGAGATTAGCAGGCGAGTATCACGTTTTCTTGAGCAGATTTACTACACATATGTCCTGTATGGATTGAACGTCACTTTCAAACTGAAGCCTGCAGTTTTCTCTCATGTCAAGATCTCAGTTTAACATATTCGTGGTATGTACGATCATATTCATATAATATTTCAAACTTATGTAATTATATATTCATTTTGACGATCTAATAGAATCATATTCCACCACTTTTAAACCGTATATGATTATGTTTGACGAAGAATTGCATTCCATATTTGCATATTATTCTTTATATCGCGTTTGGATGCTATAACACACATACTTTATGTATTCACAGAATTTATACAGACGTCTGTCTAACATTAAAAATGTATAACCATGTATAATGAAGCACTTTACTCACTAAACACACTATTCTATGTAATATCTTTTAAATTGTATTTGAATGCCATAAATCATCTATTTTCCGAAGTTACCAGATCAGTTCGATAAGTCTGTCATGGTTTTTGGTCAGTAGTTTTATCTGAAAAGCTGTTTCATATATCTTGGTCATGAAGCATCATAATAATACATGTTAAAACCGTTAAAACTACCTAGCTTTGTACCCCTCAATTTTAACTGATGCAGATTTCCGGTTTACACATGTACCACCTACTTTGGTTGTTTGATGCCAATTACCAACAGTTCTAGATTACTTTATCATAAAATGCTATCTTTCCGTGTAATCTACATGTTAAAATTTACTCAATGTGCACATTTTTATTCTATTTTGGACCTGTACGTGTACTGACATTCATGCCACATATTCACTACGATCTTACTGCCACTTCCCCTCTTATATTTGTCATCTTCACTAATTCTTATGATACATTCACTCTCGTCTCATAAACAGGTTTTAATTTCTAAACTATCTTGAGGCCTCAGCCATGATTTTTGCACCCTTTTTCTTCTAACAACACTTTGTTCTATCCGTCTGCTACTTATCATTTTCCAATCATGCTTCAAAAGGAATTTAAAGCCTCTGATTCTAGGCGTCCAGCCAAACGTAGGAAAACGACACGATCTGAAACCATTAAGGACACGATTCCCGACACTTCCGACGAATCGAGCTACTCCGTTCACCCAGAAGCAGATAACCCTATACCAGTGCTCTCCATACCAGATATATTAAAGACTATTGGTAAACACTGATGATAATCACCCCTGTAACCATACGCATGATATAAGAAAGTTGCTAGTTGGTATGAATATTCTCAATCGTATAAGTTTCTCATCAACCTCGACTTGACGAAGACTCCATATCAAATGAACGACACTAATAATCTCCTAGATCATGATGCTTTAGAGATGTTTTAAAGAATAGAACGATCCAGAAATACAATTGTATTTAATATCTCGTACAAATAGGCCCTAAAAATACCAAGTCTAATCTGCTTAAAGCTACAAAATATGACGCATGTACCATTTGTGTGCACGAGATTATAAAGAAGTCACCGCAGTATTCACTCACCGATCATGTTCGCATTCAACTCATCTGTAAACACCAATGAGTTTCTAAATTTATCCAATACGATCAGACAGAATCAGGCTTTCAAGAATGTTAAGATCCTTCCAGATAGAACACTATGCCCGAGAAAATCACGAGGAGCTAGTTACAGACCACTAGCGTCAAACTCCCAAACGCATCGTAGTCTTGAAGGTCATAAAATGAAGCCCGATTCTAATAGAATCTTTGGCTTTTCAAAAAAGCCACCACTGATAAACTCTCCTGGATATCTTGAAGTCCAGAACCCAGAAGAAAATA